TTTCCTAAAATGAGCACTTTGGAAGGGTGTTTTTTTGTTGGGGGGGGGCCTAAACCCCCTACCCTAAAGATCACCAAAAGCACTAGTTCAAAAGCTTGCCGGCGGGGGGGGGATCAAGCCTGTTTTTGCACCGAAGGCGATTAGGACTTTGCAGGGCGACGCTTTGGGATCATTCCGCGAGGGCTCGAGAGTATTCCAGCGAGATCTTTGGGCGCGACGAACCCTTCCAAGATCTCTGTATGTGTGCATATATAGCACATACATGTATATATATATATATATATATATATATATATACATACACATGTATCTAATGTGTTGCTTGTTCATTTAGTTATTCAGTTATTTAATGGTGCAATGCGGGTTTGTTTATGTGTTTCTTTCTTCACTTATTTATTTGTTTAACGACTTATGGCAACACCCTAAACCCTAAACCCCCAAACCCCAAAACCCTAAACCCCTAAAAGCCCTAAACCCCTAAAACCCTAAACCCCTAAACCCCTAAAACCCCTAAAGCCCTAAACCCCCAAACCCCAACACCCTAAACCCAAAACCCTAAACCCAAAACCCTAAACCCAAAATCCTAGCAACACCGCATTAGAGGACCCCCTTTAAAGGAGCCCTTACTAAGTCCCCGAAAGGCCCCCCCAAGTAGAGGACCGTCCTGGCGGCTCCCTGCGCCTCCCTGGCGGATCCCGTTCGCCTCGCGGGCTCGGTGAGCTGCCTCTGCCACTTGACATCACTTGACCTAAGTGGGGTTTAGGGCTTTAGGGGTTTAGGGTTTGGGGGGTTTTAGGGTTTGGGGTTTAGGGCTTTAGGGGTTTAGGGTTTGGGGGGTTTTAGGGTTTGGGGTTTTAGGGGTTTAGGGCTTTAGGGGTTGGGGAAAGGGTTTTAGGGTTTAGGTTCAGGGCTATAGGGAGTTTAGGTCTTGTGATTGGGGCCACTTGACATCGGTTTGTAAAAGGGTAAAAGGTTTGGGTTCGCCCCTTTAATCAGGCGTAAGGGTGATTATGATGGGGGGTACCATACGGGTTCCGAAAGAGGAACGGATCATTTTTTCTTTTTAGGAAGTTAGGGTTTAGGATCAGGTTGGGGTTTTACTATGTTAGGCTTTAGGGTCTGGGTTCAGGGGTAAGCGTTGTGTGGGCCTGTTAAAGGGTTCTTACCCATTTTCTTTGGATTCGTTGAGAGCTTGGGGTTGAGGGTTTAGGGTTCAGGGCTCGAGGGCGTGCAGCACATTTCGCTCTTTGGTGCCAAACTGTTGCAAGAAATCACTTTGAAAGCTGTATGTTGTGGAGTTCCCCAGCTTTTGTTGCATTTGCAATCGGGGAGTCTGTAACCGAACTCGCAGCAGGTTTGACAGCATTATACCCTCTACCAACCTACGAAAGCTGGAATTGCAAAACCCTTCATATAGACAGCGGGCAGCAGCATCTTCTATTACATAAAGGAGAACCCCACCAAGACATCAGAAGCACTCCTAATTTCTCAAACTCTAACTGTGACTATCCTTAGCTCCTCAGCCCATGACGAGCGCGAAGAGCACCGTGGCTCGAGCAGCTGCCGGAGAACCAGCTCCGAGAACTCCCGAGTCATACAAGCGAGACCTCGCATGTGCTTTGGAGAGCCCGGGGTTTAGGGTTTAGGGTTTAGGGTTTAGGGTTTAGGGTTTAGGGTTTAGGGCTTCCGACATTGCGCATCGAATGACGGATGAAGAGCAAGAGGCGGCCACAAAGGCAAGTGCAGAAGCGGCCAACAACATCGCGGCAAAGAGCACGGGCATTTCAGAGGGAGACACCCAGTTCTTGATGCACCTTATCAAGGCATCGGCCGAGCCCCCTCAAACTGTGCAAATAAACTTGGGGCTTAGGATTAGGGTTTACGGGGTCTTGGGTTTGTGGGGCCGCCTGAGTGAGGGTCGTGGGGTCAGGGCCTACCGTGTCAGGTTTGGGGCGGTTTAGCGTTGGGGTTTGGGGCGTTCGAGTTAATAGTATGCTACCGACTGCAGTTGGAGTTGAGAACCACCCTAAACCCTAAACCCTAAACCCTCACAACCCGTGTCCCCGACATGAAGGCAGTGAGCCCTTGAGGCTTCACCCGCAGGCCCTGAATACCGAAAAAAATCCACTAGGCCAAGCCTGCAACTCTAACCCAGTGTTTCATTGGGTGGCGATATATGATTGCAATATTCATACACATACATATTATACATCGCTTCGCTTTCGCTTTCTGGGCAATGAGTTCAAGTCGAACGCAGCCGTAGCATGCACTAATTTAGGAGGTGAGACAGACGACAAGAAAGTCGGAAATGGCGACATTGGAACAAACAGTCAGATCGTCCCGGTGGTAGCGGAAGGGCGAGGAACGCACAACTGCCTCAACAGCGGGACATACGATCCCGGGCAGCAGCAGGACAGCCGGCAATCCCTGACTCCAGAGGAAAATAGTCCCTCGAACAAGGTCAGAAAACAGTCGCAGCTGTTGCAGAGGCCCAGCTATGTCGCCATGACGACGGAGTGGCCGAGGAGTGGACAAAGAAGACTGGAGACTCTGACACGAGAGCACTGTGAGCCCTTGGCGGTACTCCTCAATCCTGCAACCAAATCGGAGCAAGTCTCCATCGTGAATGCACTCAGTGTGCCTGAGAACCCTTGCAAAGAGCTCTATTGCCCTAACAGGAGTGTCAGGGAAGATGCCGGTCCCACACATGTCAACTGAGCTAACAGGCGGGAGACAAAAGTCTTGAAACATATTATACATATATATATATATATATGTATATACATATATATATATATATATATAGGTACATGTACACACGTACGTCACAAAGATATTGTGTATGTAGTATTAGACACCCATATGCGTTACCATGTTAAGAACTCCAAGGCACCATCCTGTACAGCGACCGACAGCAGCCCGGACTATTTTGGAGACCCGAGCTCGCCCAAGGGGCTGCTGAAAGGGGGGCTCAGTAGGAAGTAGCGGTCCTTGTGAAGGGGTTTAGGGTCTAGGGGTTTAGGGGTTCAGGGTTTAGGGGTTTAGGGTGTAGGGTTTAAGGTTGAGCGCATTCCTTGTCAGAGTCGGTTAGCCTGTTCGTAGACGCTCATGTTCCTGATTCATCACCGCACCGCATGATGTGTTGTAGGGTTGGGGACCCCTCAGCCCAAAACCGCGCACCCCAAACCTCGTAAGGGAGGGTGGGAACAGTTACATAGGCATTGCTATTCATTGTTTAAACTTATTATATTAAAAAATACCCCAGCCCTGGTCTGGTACTTAAGGCCCCCCCCACCTTGGAGTTGTTTCCATTGCATACTGCACGGGTTTTGCAGCGCTGCCGGGGTTTTTGCCCGGATTTGGGTTGGTGTGTATGTATGTGTGTGTGTGTGCGCAAAGCCACGAAGCTGCAGCTCGTTCTAGCATCCAGTATCAGGGTCGTAAAAGGAGGGGTTTGGGGTGTCAAGCTTGAGGCGGCCGGGTTTATTTACGTTCGAGACTTGGGGATGTTGGGCTTTGGAGGTTGAGTTCCCAGACCCCCGGGAGGATCCAAAAAGTAGATCATTTAATGGGGGTTCCAAAAAAGGACCGTTAGTAGTATAGGGCCCCAAATTAGGGGATCTACTTTCTAGATACTCCCGAGGGTCTGGGTTTCGGCTTTCGAAATTTATGGCCATGGCAGCTACTAAGGCGCCGACGATACGGCACCACCATCGTAAAAGCTCTTGACCCTTGTCATGATGTGCTTTTTCGCTCATCTTCCTTGAAGGATCAGGGAGTCAAGGGATTCATGACCATAAGGGATCCTAGAGGCCCTTGACGGTTGATTTGTCTTTGGCTATCTGGGGTTCCGGGTTCAGGGTCTCGGTTTTTCGAGCGACGGTGTTGCGCTCCGTAGCAATTAAAACTGCATATAGGAGGACACAAGGCACCCGCATGGTTTGGGGGGCAAGCCCTAGATGTGACGAAAGAGAAGAGCCTTTGGGGATAGAGCACATCCGCATGTCGCTTGAGCCCACACGTTAAGATGTGGAGTTCGCATGCTGAGCCCCTTGCATTGGGAGCACAAATTCAACGAAAATGGATTTCGATTGCATTGTCTCTGGGTGTCCACAGATCCCAGTCGGCATAATTCACCAAAAGGTAATCCAGGTACACATCTCCTAACGTTTAGCCTGCCCTAAGCCCCTAAACCCGTAAACTCTAAACGCTACCCCCCCTAAACCCGTAAACTCTAAACGCTACCCATGGCTTTGGGCATAGTATAGGGGCCTCAATAATTTCCGATACTGTTTTTTTTGGGGGGGTTCTTTTCTTTATTATGCTTACCCATAGGCCCCAAAGTAGTTCCTTTTTGGGATTACCTTTTAGGATTCTCAATATGACCCTCAAATAAAGGAACTACTTTGGGGCCTTAGGGTAAGGCTCCAATAGTGCTTGCGGGAGGGCTTGGGATTTCGAGGCCAGGGTGCGGGATCCGAACTTACACCGGGGCTTTGGGCTCGGTTTTCACAATTAGGGTCCTTTTAGAAGGGTGTTGTACTATTTTGGGATCCGAAAAAGGGCCCTAATGTCAAGAACTAGCCACGTACGATTTTGATTTTACTACGAACTTTGAACCGTGTTCAGGGTCTCCATTGCAGTTCCCTTTGTCGCATAGCCACTTCTCCTACACCATAAAGTGGGTTATCCAGAGAAGTAGCTAGCATGGAGACAATAATACTTGGCGCTCTTCTGGTTGGCTCTTTAGAATTTAACTTTATGGGTTTTTAAATGAACTACAATAAGTTGGCTAAAAGTTTGACTTTTAGGAGGGGTTCAGAAGTCAGCCAAGAATAGGTAGAGCAGCTACAGCTTATGGCCAGGGTGGAGGGTTTATTTGACCCTTTACTCCCCGTAAAGGAATCCTTATGCTACCGTTTCTGGAATCCTTAAAGGAGGCTACTTGATTACATGGACCTTCATCGTTTAGGGTGTCACTCTGCAGAGCTCAGGAGCTCATGGACAAGAAGTTGAACAAGATCTGGGGCTGCTCACCGAGGATGTGGGCTTTGGGGTGATCTTTTAGGATTTAGGGTTTAATGTAGGGTTTAGGGTTGCAATAGGGTTCAGGGCTTTGGGATCAGTTCAGGATGTATATAATAGATGTATGTGCTGCAGATATGTTGGCATGCCGATGCACCATCCAACATCCCATCTACCCGGTGGGCTTAAGTTATCAATCCTTGTATATGACAGCATATGTAACATGCGCTGATGTCAGATGTGTTCTCTGTGTTTTTCAACTCTTCTGTAAACAGTGTCGTCCACAGTCTGCGCATGCCACGACACCGAATGGTCAGCGCGCCGGCGTCCATGCTTGCCAGGCATAAACAGGGTTGGGGACACGTGCATTACGGTACAGTTATCATGCCAGCACACGTGCTGTACGGAAGTATGTATACCTGCTGAAGCCCCCTTGACCCAAAAGCGGAATTCCCAAGTAAACCCTCGACTCAAAGCCCCGAAACCCGAAGCCTTAAACCCTGTCTATGTTGTTATCCAACCAAAATCGGCATGAAGCCTCTTAGGCTACATCGATGGAGCCTACTTTCGAGCGACCTGGCTGTGGAAATTGGATCCCGGCCGAGGTGAGGTCTTTTCTCAGGATCTAGGACGGTCTAGGCTTCAGAGGTCTTAGTGTTTAGGGTTCGAGGTTAGATCCGAACATCCGCCTGGAACCTGACATCATCATGGTACAGAGGTCTCCCCGCCTCCATCCCTGCTCCGGCTCCCGGCAACAAGACTTTTGGTTCAGGCTTTTCCGGCTCCAGCATGCCCATGCCCTTACAATATACAGTGCTAGAACGCCCCCTTCGTGTGGTTTTTGTATGGCAGTAGGCCCCCAGACCCTAGTCTCATCAAGAAACCCCTCAAGTATTGCTGCTTGTATGTTTTGAGCAACGCGTCAGACCTTCGTAAGCCCTACATCATACAACTTACATCCTGAACCATAAAACCCTCAAGCCTACGATGTCTGGTGCTTTAGAGGTTTAGGCTTTGGTCCAGTTTGGGCTTAGGGGCTCATGCATCGGACTCTACGTAGGATGAGCTGGCTGGGACTTTTGGCCTCGGGTTGGGGGGGGGGTAGGGCTTGACACCCAAAGCAGGGGTTCTCAGACATGGTAAACTCTCCATCTCAACTTTAGGATTGAGGATGTGTTAGGGGAGGTCGAACCCGTACTCTCGAAGGAACAAGGGACTTGGTAAGCAATAGTGCCAGCTTCCAGTGTGAAGGATCTATTGCCCGAGCACGGAGTAGGAAAGGACGGAACGGGTCACTATACCAGTCTTATGCTTGCGGTGTCTATATATGGGTACCGAAACATTGGTTGCCGATAGCATCCCTTGCCTGCCCTGCTCCCTTGGCATGGCGGCCAAGCAGAAGCAGACTCTTAAACGTCCGGCGGCCAAAAGGACCGTTGCAGCTGCCTCAGCTCCACCTGCCAAGATCCAGACCACAGCCAGTGCTTTCAAGCGGCCGGCTGCTGTCGTCTGACGACCGGCGGCCTCAGCCCCACGCACCCGGCTGCGACCTCTGGCCTTTGCTGACGTCATCCAGATCATGAGCTCAGAATGGGCAAAAGACTCGAGGCGCTTCTGGAGAAAGGCCTCTGCATGCCGAAGGCTGCTGAAAAGATGCCATTGTGCTGGATTTTCAATGCAGCCCCCATTCTTGAGATACATCACCCAGAAGGCTTCTGCGTCCTGCTGTCGTATTGGTTGCCGTGCATGCGGCCATGCACATCGACTGACGCTGTCGAACTTGCAGAAACCAATTGCATTGTGTATCGAACGATCTGGAGATCACACTTCCTGTTCGCTACCAATGAAGAAGCTGAATGGGTATCGTGTGTTGACTAGTCGCGTTTTCTCGCTCTTGCGTTGTCTCTGCAGCTCTGGTCCGTCTTGCTCCTGCGGATCCTTCATTGATCCCGAGTACGTCTTCCGCGGTGAGTTGGACTCCTGGCGACGCAGAGACCTCGCGCTGTTAGGTGTCAAAATTGTGGACCCTTTTTGGGTACCCGAAATAATGGGTGCCGCATTATATTAAGGACTCAAAAAGGGGCCCCATTTTGACAACCACTCATATGCATTAGGGGTTTCAGTTCTTGGTGCAGTTGTTATTGTTGGGAGTTCTGGCTCGTGTGTCGCTTTGCTGCCAGCCTTGCACGTCGTTCTCTCGCTCCCTGCTGCTACAGTCACCCGGGCGAATGTCATCCTGATAGGGTTTAGGGGTTTAGAGTTTAGGCTTTACATCCATTAAAGGGTCGTCCTTGGGTGGGTCGTCCTTGGGTTTATAGTGCCTTCGGTCTAAGATGCTGCGATTTGGTGATCAGGGCACGGTGCAGCCGAATCCCATAATTTGCAGCTCACGGCCAGGAATCGTGACCTAAGCGCTTACACTACCAAAAATCGCTTGAGCCTGTCGGGCTTGAGCCCTCCAGAGTCCTAGCACGCATGAGCCGAGACACTCCTCCGGCCCCCGAAGCAAGCCGCAAACCCCAAGCGCCGCTAGAAGCTAAAAGACTAGAGTACACTGTCTGAGGAAGTTTCTCGCACCTGCGAGATGTACAGCAAGCACGAGGACTGTGCCTTATCAGTGCCCAATGTTAGGGCATTGGGATGGGTCCGTATCAAGAGTGATAGTAACGGGTTGCTCTAAGTCGTGGTCACTTTGAAAGTGTTTGTTTGAGTAAACTCGGCGACAAGTAGCACCATAGAGAGGGCATTGCAAGGCGTTCGGAACTAATGCTGGGTCAAGGTTAGGTTAACGTGTAAAGCTTCCCGTCTGTTTGAGGCTTACGGCTAAAACTAGGCAATGCTTTTGTGGCGGTCTGCAGGGTATCGACAAGCTGTCATGTGGGATTCATACGGTATTCAACGAGGTTCCGCAGAGGTCTCGATTGTGTGGTCAAGAACTATACAGCATTCCGATCTTGTTCTTGCCAGCTTTTCGTTGAGGCTTCCTTTGCTGGGTTTAGCTTCTAGAGTTTAGGGTGCAGGGGTTTCTTAAGAGTTTGTTCTTAGGTTTCCGTTGCAGTGTGTCTTTGCTTGGTTCATCGGGTGACTTGGTGTGCGTGTGTGATAGACTTTCTCAGTCTGTGTAAGATAGCGGCATGTATGCTCAGAAACTTCTGTAGTCCAGCTATTTACAAGGCCATGTATGAACCAAATCTACGGCTTCCTCGCAGCCGCACTTGTAAAGCCCGGCAACTTCCTCCAAGTCCGATGTGGGCTTTCGGGGTTTTCGCCGGGAAAGCCGGGCGGTGTTGTAATTGCAGTACAGGGGTGCCATTACAGCAACTGTAAGCTGGTGAACAGTATGTGCCCAAAAACTATGTGACGTATAGTAACAAGCCGCTCAAGACTGGGAGTGCTAACTCATTTCCGATTTCCTGTGCGTAGAGCCATAGATACCATGTACAAACCTGTCACAAAGCTCTTGAGCCCAAGTTTCATCCCAACTGGTTTGGCCCTACTTAGTTCAAACCGGTGAACACAAACTAAAGCCAACTTGGTAGCTTGACCCTCCATCGCAAAGACAAATACGTTTTTTTTCAAACCCTGAGCCCTAAACCGTGACCGCAGTCAGAGCGCCACAGGGAATTCCAGTGTCATCGGTTTTGGTAAGAAGGCTTATAGCTAATCTTGCTACACACAGACTAACATTCCCAGAACCATACTATATACTCTATCCGCGTTTAACCATTATTCAACAAGGGATTTTTTGGGGCTTGTTAACGCCGTATACACCCTATGACAGACGCTAAACCCAACCCCAACCCATCGTCTCCCGTGTAGTTCCTGTTTTGGTTAGCCAACTTTATGGTCAGGATCCTGTAATATAGATTTTGGTTGACAAAAGAAAGGAACTGCCAGGGAGACTATAGGAAAAGTACGGTTTTTTTTGCGGAGGACAGTGCGCGTGATCCGCAGCGTGGCTACGGCGCCGCAGATCTGATGAACGTCACTGGAGCTCCTCGGCGATCTTTTACAGGATCCCTCAAAGGACATATTTGGAGGAACCCCCCATATAGATCCCTCCAAGGAGCCCTTAAAGGTACCCTATAGGTCCCTCAAAGGAGCCCTTCAAGGAGCCCCTTTAGATCCCTTAAAGGAACCCTTAAAGGAACCCCGATACATCTTTTAAGAGTTTAGGGGTTTAAGGTTTAGGGATTAGGGTTTCATCGAGGGTGCTTGTTGATGTCTTGTTTCAGGCATCAGGGTTCCTCTGAGGGTTCCTGTCAGAGTTCCTTCAAGGATTCCTTCAAGGGGTACAGTTGGAGTTTGGGGTTCAAGGTTTAGAGTGTACAGTACAGGTGAGGGTTCTGAGTTCAGGATATGGGGTTGGGGTGTACGAGTTTCGTGTTTACACTGAGCCTTTGATCCTCCTGAAAGCCATATTCCTGCTTGACAAGTTATCTGTAGAGTGGGGCAGCAACTTCTTGTAGCATTAGCACATAATGGCGCCATTGAGGCCTTATTCAGGATTGGTTTTACGGTGGTGAGTGGTGATTCTTCGTGTTTATAAGGATGCTTTAGACTTTACTCACTATGCTAACTTCTTTGGGGCCACATGTTGCTTTTTCAGGACCTTCTATAGTTTCTCGAAGGCATGAACCGGAAAGTCGAAAAGGCTCCAGGGTGTGGGGTACCTTCCCAAAGGCTCCGAAGTACCTCCATAGTAGAATGTAGGGTTTCTATATTAGGAATTACTGCTATGATTTGGGGAAGCATCCCCTATAGCAGTACTTTGGACCCTTTAGGCTTACTATCAACTGTGGCAGTCAATCTACTGAACACTAACGTCCAACATGTCTACAGCAGGTTTTCAACCAGGCTGATCACGTGACAGTGCCAGGCAGACACTGCATGTTGGGGTTGTTGCCAACACGGCAGTGTGCTTGAGATTAGAGTTTGCTATCATATTGAAGCCTTTTGAGAGGTTCGTTGTAGTGTGTTTTTTGGTTTGCGCTGTGGCTTCTCTTACAGAGCTCTCCAACAAGTTGTCTGTTGACATTCCAAAGGGAATGGAGTTAAATGGTGTTGAGATGCTGTTTGATAACATGTTTGAACGCTTAGACCCCTCTTGTTGGCGATTGGCAGCTTCTCCTGTTTTAGTCCTTGGGTCTGTTTGGAGTCTTGTGCTTCAAGTTCACGGGATGTAGGTGGGCCACGGGTAAAGAGCTCAAGCAATTTTGCGTACTGGTAATGCCAATGACGGTACTTACAGCCGTGCATGCTTTTTCACTGCCCATGACCCCCCTGATCCTTCAAGCAGTCTATGCCAAGGTCACCGATCCGAACAAAGTTCGTGACATGGTTGCAAAGGTGCACAATGGCAGGGGGTGCCTTCTGATCTAAGGATCAAGGTTGACACCTAAACCTCAGAAGGGGCCCCCTTCCTGTAATAGTGGTATAATAGGAATATAATAGGGCCATAATATAATCCTTATAGTCACTATTACGGGGTGGGGGACCCTTCTAACCTAAACCCTAAAGGTCCGGGCTTGAGGGTTTATAAGAGACTCAGGGCTGCGGATTGACGATCCAGAAGGGCAATGGTGTTTGAACTGTGACCTCCCCACCCTGCCTCCTTGCTTGGGGGGTCGGGGGACTTAGTAAGTAGTTAGTAAGTAGACTTACAAGTACCCTAAAAGGGACCCTAATTGGGGTTATGGTACTTATAAGTCCCTAAAATAACCAGCTACTAAGTCCCCCGACCCTCCAAGTGCCTCTTTGTCCCCTTAAATACCCCCGATATAAGCCTATATACTGCTCTCCAAAACCTTGTAGAACCACCGTATATAGTAAGGTTTCTTACAGGATCCGATAACCGTTGTAGGACTCCTCCAAGGAGGCTGAAACTAAACCCCTAAACAAGCACAAAAAAACACATGATAGAGCCCAGGCCAAACAAGGCCTGATATCGGGCCATGGCCCAAATCACATCCGACCAAGTGTCTGCCGAATTCTGCAAATCATGCTCTTCACCATCAGGGTTCAGACTTTTGTGGTAGTCTGTCAGGATTTTACGGTGTTGTGTGGGGTTTGGGGCTTATGTGGCCTTCAAAACTTGATCTTCGTTTATCCTGTTTGCCGAGGGTCCGCTTAAACTCGCTAAACTCGATATGCAGAGGGGACTGACGCACCGACCAGTATCATTTTCGAACACTTTCAAATCTCTCAGAGTTGCTGATGAGAAAAGGTTTTGGCTTTAGGGGCTTGGCGGGTTCGGCGGTCAGTCCTCGGCTGCGGTGGGAGCTTTTGTCGGCTCAAGCTGAGGCAACCCGTTTATGCACAAGATGCTGGTGTCGGTGATCAACTTTGTGACGCTTTGCCCGCATGGACTTGGGACTGGACACCTCGAGACTTCTTTAGTTTAGCCCCCCTGCAAATCTACTCTAAGGGGTTTTTCATCCCAAAGAAACAGCGAAAATTACATTTTTTGCTAGGTTTCTAAGTTCAGTATAGCTACTACAAAATCCCCAAGGCCCAGACCCTAAACCCTAAACCCACGGCCCCCTTAAAGCCTTTCCGGGCTTGGTGGAAGATTTCCAGTTGATCAAGGAGAGAAATGCGCATCTTTTTTCGAACCAATTTTTTTCGGGGCAGAGGGCATGTCCAGTCTTCGGTGCTGTAGGTATTTTGTTGTCGTTGGTAGTTGCCATTATTTCTGATTCAGCTTGTTAAAGGATACATCCTTCAGTTGTGTAAATTTGTGTTTGGAGCTTCTGTCGCTGTGCGTTTCGAGATAGGCCGCGGCCGTTAACTTTATTCTCACTTGGGCTTTGCGCTGGTCTGCAGGATCTATATAGATAGGAAGGGATTGTGGACAGAGAGATAGATGGATAGAACTACACATACTGTTACATACATAGATAGATAGCGAGATAGATAGATAGATAGAGATATAGATATAGACTCAGATAAAGGTATAGATCCAGTTCAGTCTCAGCACCCTCCGTTGCACAGCCGCAAGTCTATACTCTTTGGGCGCAGGGACCCTTTCGGCTGTTGCACCAGCGATCGTACAACTTATCGACTGGAAGCTTGAAGGGTACTTCCTGGGTAGTGCCCCTACTCCGAAACAGTTGGATACCATTTCATAATCAAATAGGTATAGCCCTTATTATGACTCTTTTTTGTGGGACTGTTACAGGGTGGGGCCAGTTACCGTGGTACTTCTGTCTACTGTTGCCAGCAAGGCACCTGCATTTCACGTGTTCCTTTCTTCTTTAAGGTTCTCGTAACAGACTGCAATATTCCTGAACATTAACAAGGAATATACCTTAAATTATAGTAGGATCTCGAATCTGATTTCAGGTATATTCCTTAATTAAGGGATATTGGAGTCTCTGTGTTCCGGTGGTGCTCTGGAAATTGTCTGAGGTACATTTGGCCCAAAGTATACACTATTGGGGTACATGGACCCTTATACCCTATACCCTATAGAACCCTTTAAGGGAACCCTTAAAGGAAACCCTCTTTGGGCACATGGACCCTTAGGGAATTGTCAGGAGACTCTTCTCCGAGCTGGCATCGAGAGAAGCAGAGACAAAGGCACGTGGCAGTTCGAGATTTAGGGCTTGGGTTTGGGGCTTTAGGGTTTAGGGGTTTGGGTGGTTTAGGGGTCTAGGATAGTCTAGGGTTTAGGGTTGGGGGGATTAGGGTTTGGGGGGTACGGGGGGTACGGGGGGTACGGGGGGTAAGGGTCGGGATTTGGGGTTTGGGTTTGGGCGGTCCAAGGGATACGGTTCTAGGGCTAGGGTTTAGGCATCGATGCAACTGATGTCAGGGGAATGGGATTAGTTGGGAGTTGGCTTCAGCTCTATACCATCCTCTGAAACCTAGCCCTAAGGGTCCAAGCGGCCCAATCATTAGGTACTCGGCCTTAGGATAGTAGTTATGTAGGTTTGGAATTCGGAGAGTATACGAGTTTGGGGTACTTGGACCCTTGGGGTAAACGCCCTAAGCCTTATGAACCCTAAACCCGGCAGGCGTGGGTTGAGGTCTCACATGGGGTACGGCCCCCACTCAGTAATGGTTGAATAGGATTCAAAATATAGATATATTGGGACCTTAATCGTAGTCCTGTTATAGGCTCTTTCTGTATGGGGGCAGTACCTAAGTCTCACAGCATTCTGACCGGCTACACGGCCTTGGGGCGACGACTATTCAGGGCTTCACGGTATTAGGGTTTAGGTTTCGAGGTGTTAGAGGGTGTAAGGGTGTCAGCGTTTTGGGTTTAGGTTTTTTTTTTCAGGGTTTAGCGTTTAGCGCACGGTCTGGTGCCGCTTGCTCATGCCTAAATTGCCTAAAACGATTTGGAGGGTTGGACCACCCACCTTCTATAGCCCGGGCAAGCGTTGCGTTCGCGCTGCACTCATGGTTGTTTGATCCCTGTAGACCATGAGTGTAGCTTAGCCGGGGCCCCCACCGGTCACCTTGTAATAGTGGTAGAATAGGTATATATTCGGGCTCAATACCCTTATAGTCACTATTACATAGTGTAGTGTAGCTCTATGGTCCTTTCCGGCACTTACGGCAGCATCTAAAGACCCTAAGCCTAGATCCGGCTTCAGGCACGGTTCAGAGTACGGTGGTGTAGAGTTTCCTTTTCAAAGCTCAGAGCCCTGTATGGTTGAGGATTTTTGAAGGCTTGTCGAAACCCTGCCAGTGACACGTGGCTGATGGTGGCTGTAGCAAGCTCTGATGACAACCGTACACAAACACCACATACAGGCCTCGTGAAACACCCCCCCGTTGCCTTCAACAACCGCCTGCCTGTCTCGTGCAGGAGACGTCGAACCTTTGCACCCAGGTGTCGCAGGTGTTCAATGCCGCCAAGCTGCAGTCGAACTAATGGGGCTTAGTGAACGTCTGTGGGCGTATCCCCGACATATTCGTCTGCGCCAACATGGGTTTTGGAACTTTTTGTAGTCTTACAGCCGTCAACATGCAACTTGTCGCCATGCGGAGCACATGCGCTGTTTGGTGCATTCTGCAAATGGTTCAGTGATTTATCATGATGTCATGTGTGTGTGTGTGTGTGTGTGTGTGTCCGCTCTGACGATGCCATAGTAGGTCCGGGTTCCCTTATCTAACAAAAAAACGAATGCCCGTGGCCGTAGTCTTCTTGATGCAACCTCCTGTCAAGCAGCTAAACCCAGAGATCCCAATCCCCCTCAATTAAGGAATATACCTTGAATCATAATATTGAGGCCTGTATAATTTAAGGTATACTCCTTGATTAAGTGGCCCTTGGGTTCTCTGGGAAGGGATGCAGCTTCGCTTGGTGTCTGCGGGAAGAACTCTGCAGAAGCCTTTGCTTTGAGTCTATATGGGCGGTAAACAAACATTACATGGGATCTATAGGGTTCCTTTAAGGGGTCTATAGGGTTTAGGGTTTAGGGGTTCCTTACTTATAAAGGGATCTGTATGGGATCTATAGGGGTGGTTGTCAAAATTATGGTCCCTTCTGGGTACCCCAAATAATTGGTGCCGTATTATAATAAGGACCCAAAGAGGGACCCTAATTTTGACGACCACCCATATATTGGATCCCATCTGCACTGCACTGTGACACCTAGCCTGACATACACTTATACGTACAACATGTGTGCGTGTGTGTACATATATATACAGATGTACATAAAGCTTTTGAATTATACGCAACTGTTTGTATCCAAGAGAATGGAGCCAATGCCGGGTGATGTCAGCAACAGGAATGCTGTTGAAGCATCGAACCGCGCATGAGAAAGCAGACATCACTATACACACACGCACATAGACAACATTGAGGGAAAAGCTGAGCAAGTTTACCCTTAAGCGCCCACCATACAAAACTTGAGCCCCAAAACCTATAAGTCTCCCGAGGCTTTAGGTATAAGGCAAAATCTGCTTTGTGAGTTTCCTGAGCCAAGCATCCAGAACAGAGCCTTCGAAAGGAGATGGGTCGCGAGAGTGTTCTCTTCAAGCTGCTTCAGGCGAAGTCGGCTTTAGCGTACCCCGGGGATCAAAATGGCCCATATAGGCCCCAAAGTAGTTCCTTTTTGGGTTTACCTTAGTAATAAGGCCTCAAAGTAGTTCCTTTTTGGGATTCATATATATAGAATCCTCTATTAGAGGATTCTATATATATATATATATATATATATGAATCCCAAAAAGGAACTACTATGAGGCCTTATAGTAGGGTAGCCCAAAAGCCTTAGACAGCATGGTCTCTGAGTTCTAGAGCCCGAGCCTACTGGGCGTAAGGAGTCCGTAGCTCGTAGTGAGCTTCGGCCTCATAGTCTAGGATGCCCAGTAGTACCCTTAGGGATCTATAAGGGTTCCTTAAAGGGATCTATAAGGGTTCCTTAAAGGGATCTATAAGGGTTCCTTAAAGGGATCTATAAGGGTTCCATAAAGGGTTTAGGGTTTCCGAGAATTAGGGGCTAGGATGCCCAGTAGTACCCTTATTCCCTTTTTGTAGTCCTAGGTTCCTTATAAAGTTACCCAATACCAAAAAGAGAGGCCTTTTTATTCTTAGGTTACTGGGTATCATAGTATCTAGGACCTACACCTTACTTGGAGGGTCGGGGGACGTAGTAACTGGCTATTTTAGGGATTTATAAGTACCATAAACACAATTAGGGTCCCTTTTAGGGTACTTATAAGTCTACTTACTAGTATAACCAGTAGTGGGTGGGAGCAGCAGGCAATCGCAGGCACTGGTTCATGATTGACCCCCAAAAGACCATCGTACGCATACCGTTGGCTTTGCAAGAACTCCCTAAGCCCTAAACCCTAAGGCTCTAAGGACTCATATTCTATGGCTTTTGGGCCCAAAGACCATACCATATAAGGCTTTGGAGCCATTTTGAGCCTTAGGGTAATAGGCCCCAAAACCTTATTCGAATTATTAGGGCCCTTGTATTAAGAAGTTCGTACTTCGCAGTGAGCTTCGGCTTCGTTCTTCGGTGGAATTTTTCGAGTCTGCTCCAACTTGCAGATGCCAGCAGTTTGGAATGTGAGAGGTTCCCAAAAACATCATAGAGTTGATGGACAGAATTCTGCATTACCCAGAAGAAGGAATATACCATAATTCCCATAGTTTAGGGTCCTTGGGGTAATGCAGGATTTAGTCCATCAACAGTAGGGATGGTCTTTTGGGACCTAATTCCATCATGGTAGTACCCTACATCCTAAAGCCCAAACCCTAGGCCCTAAACCCTACATAATGGTAATGTAGGAACTTGATTAAGAAACCTAATAAAGGCCCAAGGTTTCTTAATCAGGTTCCTACAATATTATGGTACCCTTATAGATACCTTATAGTAACCCTTATAGACCCCTTTTAAAGGAACCCTACTAAAGGCCCAAGGTTTCTTAATCAGGTACCTAGATTAGTACACATGGGGCTCTTCGAGCAGTGGAGTTCATTGGCTTTGGGGGCGTGGCTGGCTGGACATTAGGGTTACAGTAGAAGCCAGAAAGTTGGAATATCATTATCGCCCCCCCCCTTTAAGGTAAATTATAGGGGATCCTACCATTAATCCATATACAGTTCCTTTTATGGGTTTAGGGCTGTTTAAGTCTTTGTAGGGCTCCGTGTCATGCTTTCTTCATACAAGTCCTTAGATGCTCAAGGTATAGTCTATGGCTTCGGCTTAAGGCTCACCCTCTGGCTCTTCACGCTTTACAGCGGGGATCCCCCCCACCCGAGAGCACTCCAGGCCCCACCTATCCCAGAAGTGCTTGCAAGTATAGCAATTTTATAAATGAGGGTGTAATTTGCCGTCGATAAACAGAAAAAGTATATGTGTCCAGGCCATGACGCTTATATTCTGCACCAAGAGTCACATAAGTTCTCAGAGGTCCACCAAGGAACACCAATAGAAAGCTGCCCACGTCGTGCAATAGCTGTTTTTAGGGTTCAGGTCATTAAGGTTTAGGGCTGAGGGGCTTCAGGTGCTGTCTGTGTCCTTGGACATATTTAACCCTAAACCCTAAACCCACATATTTATAAGACCCGACCTGTCCGACATCAAAGACAAGTCATTGGAGTTTCGACTTCGGCGCAGGTTCCAAGCCCAGACGTCCAGGCTCGAAGTGACTGGGTATCGCAGGAATATGTATGCAGGTCAGGGTTCAGAGTTTAGGAAGTTAAGGTTTTTTTTGTAGACATTCATTAATCATTAGTTAGGGCTGTAAATGGGGCGTGGTTTACGGGTCTGAGAAAAGGGAGAGATTCGAGACCTGATTACTTGCCTCACGCCCACACCCGGTACCCAAGACTCCGACCCCAAACTGCACCCTGCACCCCGAACCCTTGTACGTATACCCGTGGCACACCAATGTTGTTTAGGGCCCAAGCTGCCCAAGCTCAAGTAGGGAGATAGCTAGATCGATAGATAGACAGAGGCATAGACAGATGGATTGCTCGATAGATGGCTCGTTACGGAGATAGGCAAAGAGGCAGAAACTCAGATGGATGGATTGAACGATAGGTGGATCGGTTGATACAGATAGGTGGATCAGCAGCTAGAGAGAGAGTTAGCTAGATAGACCGATGTATAGGTACCGGGATGGCTAGATCGATAGGTAGATAGATTGATAGATGGGAAGAACAGACAGATAGACCGATGGATAGATGAGTGGATGCATGGATACATGGATGGATGGATGGATGGATGGATGGATGGATGGATGGATGGATGTATGGATGGATGGATGGATGGATGGACGGATGGATGGATGAGGCCCTAAACCCTAAATCCTGAGCCCGAAACCCTAAGCCCTAAACCCTAAACCCGGAGCCTCAAGCATTCTGCCAGGAGGCGGTGATGAGCTGCCTGAAGTTTGCACAGTTGGCGGAGCTCGATGACGAGGAGGTGGCCGCTTTCGTCACTGTGGGTTCTGGTAGCTTCCCATAGCCCTGAGGCTCCAAACAGCCCCAAAGTAGGCACTATTTATGGACTGTAGACCCCAAAGTAGGTACTATTTGCAGACTTGCAGCCCTAGGGTAGGGGTTTCATAATGTCCCATAGCTTTGCAACTTGTTGTGTGTTTGGTTTTTGTTGGTGTGTGCTTTGTGGTCTAGGTCGTAAGATTTAGCTGCTTGACAGGGTTTCATGTGGTTTCACAAGATCTAGGATGCCCAGTAGTACCCTTATTCCCTTTTTGTAGTCCCAGGTTCCTTAGAAAGTTACCCAATACCAAAAAGAGAGGCCTTTTTATTCTTGGGTATCCTAGAGATTGCCACATGGGTCTCATACAACGGTTGCTGAGTGAAGTTACGAGTACGGGGCCGGTATGAGGTTTCGGTGGTACTTGGGGGGTCAGGGGACTTAGTACGTAGACTTAAAAGTACCCTAAAAGGGACCCTAATTGGGGTTATGGTACTTATAAGTCCTTAAAATAACTAGTTACTGTTACTAAGTCCCCCGACCCTCCAAGTAAGGTGTATCTAACTGACGTATTAAATGACGAGTTCTTTACGGAATTACACGATGCGTCTGGGGAAGGTCCTACACTGACCAACGATGCGTCGATTCTTTATGCTTTGAGTGAACCGCGCTTGTCCCGTGCAGTATGAGTAACTGAGAGTTTAAGTCTCATAAACTCGTCTAATACAGATGTCGGAATGAACGGTAACAGCGTATACCTGCAGTTCCAACCAATGTATACTGCAATACAAAACCAAACCTAATGTTTATTGCTCGACATCCCTGTTCAGGAATTACCTGCTATGTTTCAGCTGTGTATTCACCAATATGGACATCGCTGTATGTGGCGTTGGCGGTGGTTTTAGAATCGGCCCTGGCAGTGGTGGTACGAGCAGGCAGTAGTGGGTGGGAGCAGCAGGCAATCGCAGGCACTGGTTCATGATTGACCCCAAAAAGACCATCGTACGCATACCGTTGGCTTTGCAAGAACTCCCTAAGCCCTAAACCCTAGCCCTAAGGCTCTAAGGACTCATATTCTATGGCTTTTGGGCCCAAAGACCATACCATATACGGCTTTTGGGCCATTTTGAGCCTTAGGGTAAGGGGCCAAACCGTTGTAAGGTCCACGCCCTGAACCCATACCCGTGAACCCCAAGGCTAGAAACCCTGAGCCCTGAAACGCTGAGCCCTAAACTCCCACAGGGTCCTATGTACTGTTATCGGGGATACTTTAGAAGCTGCCCCCACCCTGTAATAGTGGCTATAAGGATTATATTAGGGCCCTATTATATTCCTATTATACCACTATTACAGGGTGGGGGCCCCTTCGAAGGGATACTTCCCTGGATCATAATAGTAATTCCTCATATAGAAACCCCACATTCTACTATATAGGTACATAGGACCCTTTGGGACTGCAAACCCTGCACCCATCGTAACCCTGAGCCCCGCTAAGGCCTTGACCCTAAGTCATTGAGTCATTCCCGGAACATACCTATCTTTTCCATTGTAGTTCCTTTTTTGGTTAACCAGTTGTATGGTTAGGATCCTATAACATGGATTTTGGTTAAACCAAAAAAGGAACTGCCATGGAGATTGCAGGTAGAAGCCTTACCCAAACCCTACACCCCTAAACCTTTAACCCCTGATCCAGGATTTTAGGAAGAGAGCTCCCCCAATAGCAGGATCCTGATTATTTATAAGGATCCCAGAAGTAAGGTACCCCGTATTTTCCGAAACTCCAAACCCTTCAAAGGAACCCTTATAGATCCTTTTAAAGGAACCCTTAAAGATCTCTTTAAAGGAACCCTAAACCCTAAACCGTGCAGGTCCAACAGCTTCTCCACATGCTTAACCCTGCCATGGTCGAGTCTGGGGCAGCCTGGCCCGGCAAGCAGGTTTGTTTTGGGGTTTAGGGTTCTGGGTTGAGGGGGTTTGGGGGTAAGTTTAGGGTTGAGGGGGTTTGGGGATTTGGGTTTTGGGGTTTTGGGGTTTTGGGTTGAGGGGGTTTGGGGCTTAGGGTTTTGGGTTGAGAGGGTTTGGGGTTTAGGGGGTTTGGGGTTTGGGGGTTTAGGGTTTAAGGTATAAGGTTTGGGATTGGGGTTTATGCTGGTTTTCGGGATGGGGATCTAGGGTCGGGAGTTTAAAGTTGGGGTTAGCTTTTGGGGTTCTCCGCCGCATACACATACACGGTTGCAGACCGCAGGACTAGGAGGCTGAGTTTCTACCTATAATCTCCATTGTAGTTCCTTTTCGGGGTTACCTTTTAGAATCCCTAATATATATATATATATATATATATATATTAATTGGTTAAACCAAAAAAAGGAACCACAATGGAGACCATAGGTAAGCGGAACCCAGGAAAGCACAAGAAGGTGGAGGGCACGGAGGCCCTAAGGCCGGCAGCGCAAGCAGTGCCTATAGTCTCCATTTGTGGTTCCTTTTTTGGTTAACCAATCCCTATGCCTCCAGGGACCTATTATGGGGTCCTTAAGGGCTTTAGGGCCCTAACTATGAGGTCCTTGGAGGGATAGGGAATTTCATGGTTAGGATCCTACAGTATAGATTTTGGTTAACCAAAAAGAGGCACTACTGTTGATGATATAAATCCTGCATTACCTCAAGGACCCTAAACTATGGGAAATATGGGATATTCCTTATTATGGGTCATGCAGGATTTATATCATCAACAGTACCATGGAGACTATAGGTGGTTCCCTTCGGAACGTCGGCAGGGGGTCGCAGTCGCAGGGCCCCGCAGCTCCTCGGGAAAAGTCAAACGCACCCCCGCGTGGCACCCCTTACAAAGCCTGTATATACAAAGAACTCCCCTGAATCCCAAAAGCCGTAAACTAAACCCCAATCCCTGAACCCTATAAACCCTAAACCCTGAACCCGAAACCCCTAAAGCCCTAAAGCCTCAATTATGGAACCCTTAAAGGAACCCTTAAAAACCCTGAACCTCCCAGGAATCCCCAAAACCCAGGAGCAGCTTCTGGGGGCAGTCCTTGGATGTTTGCTGCATGGCTCTGTTCTGGAGAGTTCTGCGGATTTGGGTTTAGGGGTTCAGGGGGTTGAGGGGTTTAGGGGTTTAGGGGTTAGGGTTTAGGAGTTTAGCCAGGGTTGAGAGGTTTAGGGTTTAGTTGTTTAGGGTTTGGGGGTTTAGGGGTTTGGGGTTTAGGGTTAGGGTGTTCTGACAGGTTCTGTGGATTTTGTGGGGGGCATTAGGGCTGCATGGGGCCTTAGGTCCAAGGGTAAAAGGAGGGACCCTTAATAAGGACCCCTAGGTATATACCCTTAATATAGCTATTATATACCCATTATATAGCCCATTATAGGGTAGGGGTCCCCATTAAGGGTCCCTCCTTTTCCCCTTTGATTCGGGGCTTTCTAAGGTTTTGTAATCGACTACAGGGTTTCCATGGGTTGCAGGGCTAGAAGAGTTATACGTCTGATGATAGAAATCCTGCATTACCTTAAGGACTCTAAACTATGGGTATTATGGTATACTCCTTACTATGGGTCATGCAGGATTTCTATCATCAACCGTAGCGTTTGCTTATGGAATCAAGGGGTTTGGGGTTCTGGGTTTGGGAAGCCTTGAGGGGCCCGGGCTTTAATTGGGGGTCGCAGAAGGTTAGATATCCACTCCAGGATGGTGCACACGATGAGGATACCCAGAGGCCCCATAGTAGTTCCTTTTGGGGATTACCTTATAGGACTCTATTTACGAGCCCCCAAAACGGAACTACTTTGGGGCATTTGGGTAGTTGCAGTCTCGAGTTTTTTGATATTTGGTTGCATGACTGCCCGGCGTGAGCGAGAGGAGAACTCCTTTATACACAGCTCCTGGTATTGTGGTGTGCTGCATACTTTGTGCGCATGTCATACTGTTTACGTGGATCCGGCGGACACCATCCCAAGGAAAGCCAGACTCACTTTAAATCGCTATAACCGCCACCGTTTTGCGAATCCTGCTGGTATTTCGGAGGAATCTTGAATCCCGCCATTCCGAATTCCATGGAGGGAAGCATCAGTGCAGCAGTCCTGGCATCCCACCTTTAGAAGCATAGTGGGCAGGTCGCTGTGCACCCTAAACGCGTAAACCTTAACCTGCAACCCCGAAAAGACATGAGGTGTGATGCTGAGGTTCTCTGCCCCCCTTCGGATTTTTTAGGACTTATCGAGGATACAGGGTTTCAGGCATGTTTCGAAACGCCGAAATGCCGGACTTTTTGATCACACCACGGAAAAGAAGACGAGTCCACTAGTGCCGATCACCGGCTGTCAAAAATAATAAGGCCTTGTAAGCCTTAGCCATCACCCAAAGGCCCCAAAGCAGTTCCTTTTTGGAGTTCATGTATAGAATCCTATAGGGTACTCCCAAAAAGGAACTACTTTGGGGCCTCTGACACCAATACACCCTAAAACGGATTCAGGTGTGGTTTCCTGACGAAGGATGGCGAGGCCGCATCAGTCGGTCGGTCGGGGGGTTCATGGCTTCCTCCAAACATCCCTAACCAAAGGCCCCAAAGTAGTTCCTTTTTGGGATTACCTTATCGGATTCTATATACGAACACCAAAAAGGAACTACTTTGGGGCCTTTGGGTAATGGCTAAGGCTTACAAGGGCTTATAATTTGGACAGGCTTCTGTAGGGTAATCCCAAAAAGGAACTACTATGGGGCCTATGGGTAAACCCTGATCCAGGACTTGGAACTGCAGGGTTTACCTGGACCCTGAGGGGATCCACTTTTCTAGGGTTCCTTATTGGTTATGATTTCCTTGTATTAATATAAGTCTTTAGAAAGTGTAGGTTTTATTATATGGTCCTGGTAGAGAATAGAGTTGAGATTTGGAATTCCAACCTTTACGCCCTAAATCCGAAACCGTGTTTCACGGAACTGCCTTCGTTCTTGGTCTCTTGAGTTGGCTCCATGCAGGGATCCTGAATGGACTAAAGCCTCCATCAGGTATTTTCCGAACTGGAAGAAGCCCTCCAACCTAAGCAACATGCAGGTCTAGAAACTCTAGAAGCCCTCAAGTCGCACCCTTGGGCACGAATGACGTGCACTTGAAGCCTAATGTAGGGGCCTAATTAATCATTCGAATAGGGTGTTGGATTAGGGGTCCCTTATTTTAGTTGTGGTATAATATGCCCCGAAACCCTACCCCTTATTATTAAGGCCCCTGCATTCTCCGAACTCGCAATGCCATCAACTAGGTACCGATGTGAGATAGACGTATTTTTCTTATATAGAGCCCGAATCGTGAACAGTTTCAGGGGACCCTTGCAGTTGACAGCTACGGTTGATGATCGAAATCCTGCATTACCCATAATACGGAATATACCATAATTCCCATGGTTTAGGGTCCTTAAGGTAATGCAGGATTTATATCATCAACCGTAGTTCAAGGGTTTAAGATTGCGGGTTCGGATGGTACGGCTTAGGGCTTTGGGAGTTGAGAGTGTTGTCACGGTTCGCAGAATCCCAGACCCCAATGCCAAACAATATACCCAAAGGCCCCAAAGTAGTTCCTTTGTGGTGTTCGTATATAGAATCCTATAAGGTAATCCCAAAAAGGCACCACTATGGGGCCTTTGGGTAAACTTCCCAGCTACCTAATGAAAAGAAGACCCACTCGGGACCCAGCCCTCGAACCTCGAGAACTGCGAAGCGTCAACGTCGCAAGACACCCCTGATGCTAAACCTTAGGGGTACGTAGAAATTTTAAGGCCTAGGGCCTAGGGTAATAACTATATCCCAAACGCGAATTCCTAAAACCTAAACCACAACCTTTTCCTGTGTGTCGCTTAAGAGGCTGCCGACAAGTTCCGCACAAATCACACCCGCAGCGTGCACCGGGCATGCTTCTAACTGGTGAGCTGCAACGGCTTGGGGTTCTTTGTGGCTCAACAAAGCCTGCATGTTCAGGATTCCTTGTATTAACCTTTCATTAATCGCCTCGCCAAGATTTTTTTAGAATAGTTGTACTAATGGCCAAGGTAATAGCAGTAATCATAGTATTGATACGAACAAAAAAGCAGCCGTTAGTTTCCCTAAGGCTCCATGTACCCATATAGTATATACTTAGGCCCTAAAGTACCTATCTAGGCACCCCTTTAAGGCTTAAGTATCTACTACAAAGGTACATGGAGCCTTTGGGTTTGAGGGGTTTGGAAATTTTCGATCTCAGCGTTGCTCTGCAGACTCATTAGAGAAGCTGCATTTTCCCTGGAGGCCACAAAGACTCTTCGAAAGGTGTCCACGAACCTTTACCGCTCTCCTCCCCGGAATTCCTATACTGGCTAGAGTGACATGAGCTGCACAAAACAGCAGATCGACCCGGTTATGAACGAAACGTTTGTGCATTCAAGGGATGGTTGATTTTCTGTCCCCATGCGAGGTCAGGTCTACCTCTAGTCCCCATTGTAGTTCCTTTTTTGTTAACTAAAGTCTATACTATAGAATCCTAACCATAAAATTGGTGAACCAAAAAAGGAACTACAATGGAGACTATATAGGAACGCTCAGATCGTCGTGCAAGCACGTTCCATAGGGCTGCTCGGGATGAGTATATACTCGGGGATTCGTGTGGAGATGCCACACACCCAGGGTCCGAATATTCAACATTCAAAAACTTCTCCTTAAGCCCAACCTACAATCCGGTACAATCCTACTGCAAAGTATTTAACTCGTTATTGGGTACTAACCTCAGGGCTGCACCTCATTTGCATTGTCGTTTGAAAGTGTCAAGGAGAGGCCATGAAGCACGAGTGGCTAAAGGAGCTCATGCTGGCACAACTATGCGTTTGTAAGCGATGCAGTTATGTGAGTGGTTGTCAACATGATGGTCCCTTTCTGGGTCCGTACTATAATGCCGCACCTATGCTTTAGGCTACCCATGTATGTAATGTGTGTATGTACGCACGTAGGTAGAGAGCTGGGTAGGCAAGTGCATGCATACGTTGGGCGGACTTGGCGCTGAGGCTGTGGAGTTCAGTAGATACGCTGCGAGTTCAAAGAGCTCGGGTGCTTTCGGATATTGAAACGAGGCAGCCAAAACGATAGACATCAACTACAATGGAGAGATTACACTCATGTCAAGAAATTAAACCTGCAGTCCACACCGCAACCCCCCAACTGCCGGGTGCCAGCAAATCCTCATGGCCGTAAACCCAACACCCCAAGCTATTATTTAGGATTTTGGGGCCGAGGCTTTACGGCCTGGGGGTTTGGGGTTTAGGGGCAGGAAAGCCAACAGCAAGTTGTGCCAGGTGATTCATCGCACCTTCGCCGTGTTGGCAGAGAATTCAGCACGCGACACTTTTGGAAACCCATCCGAGGAGGAGAGCAGTTGTCCGGAAGGGTCCTGCAATTTTGACTTGATGTACTTGAGTCTAGGATGATGGTTTTGCAGACCATTGCTTGAACTGTCTGTAGGACCCGAATCCTCAATCAGCCAAACACCCCGGCTTACACCTGGTATGCAGTCCATCATTTGGCCCAAGTACCTTCCTAAGCGAGATCCACGAAATGCTGTTTCACGCCCCCAGGATGTAAGATAGACCTTGCCCTGTATGCGTGTTCCAGAAAATGAGCTGGTCGTTGACTTCTGCCTATAGTATCCGTTCTAGTTCTGCAATTTTGGCTAACCAGATGCTGTGACATAGACATAGATATAGGTGGTCATCTTAAGTTCTCTTAAACCGAAAACAGGGAAGACACACAAAGGATTTAACTATAATGACGACCACAACTACCTGTAGCCCAGAAAGCCCAGGTTTCTCAAGGTTCCTCCTTTTGGGATCTTTACATCGGTCCTTAAGCAGGTAGTTCTTGAGGGCTACCGTTGGGGTTTAGGGCTAGGGCTTCTGTACATAACTCGGCAGGTAGTTTTTTTTTCTCGGGCTTCAGGTAGGTTTTAGGTTTATGTCATGCTTCTTTTACATAACTCCTTGGTAATTAGGTGTTTTAGGGCTACCGTGTAGGGTTTTGAGTCTTGGATCCCCAATGCCCAACCTTTTAACTTTTTGGGTTCTTGTCTTTTAGTAGGAATCGGAAAGTTTAACCTTTGATTTCTGTGGTTTATTGGGGTTGTAAGGAGTGCGCCCTAAAACCTGAACCCTAAACCGACCCAGGAGCAAAAGTTGACCTTGTCTGAGCAGTGCGTGGACGCCGCCAGCCTGGAATGTTCGTTTTCTAGGACCCAGAGTAAGCCCTTATTCCCTTTTTTAGGGTTCTGGTTCCCTCATTAAGCCCCTTTAAACCAAAAAGGGCACCCTTTTTATTCCTAGGTTACTCTTGGGTCTAGTTTTAGGGTTTAGGGTTTAGGGCTTCTCAAAGGATCCTAAGCACTTTAGAAGGGCTCCTCTACGTGCTCCTTTTGAAGGGTTAGTTTAAGGGCTCCTTCATGGGGATACGTCTCTAAACCGTAATAGCAGGTCCTTTAGCATACCCAAAGGCTCCATGCACCTTCATAGTAGATACTTAAGCCTTGAAGGGGTCCCTATATAGGTACTTTAAGTCCTAAGTATCTACTATGTGGGTACATGGAGCCTTAGGGATAGAGGTACTCAGACTCAGGACTCAGGACCCTTTGTGTTTTTTCCGGGATCGACCAGCTGTCTCTGAATTTCAGCTTGGCGTGAGGACCATCACACTTGGCGACCCATGCATCCAGTATCGTACTAGCATGCAGCAAAATGCTTTGAAGTTGGTCCACATCTTCCGGGGCATGCTTCGCCGTGACGAGACCTCATTTACTGCTTTGAGTCCATCCGCCCAACTCCATCAATCCTAACGGGCTTACGGTTTAGAATATAGATAGAGTCGAATTACAGGATCTCATAAAGTTGGTTTACTCATAAAGGAACTCCGATGGGGACTATAGGTAACATGTACCCCGGAACCCGATTGAGGCCGCCATATCATAGAACCTCTAGTAACCTGTGTAGAAGCCCTCAAAGCAGCAGGTAGATGTCATCATTGATATGCCTTATGGTGAAAATTCTGCCGGTTAGGATCCTAGAATAAGAAACTCAGGTACTCAAGAAACGCGCTGCGATTAAGGGTGTAGGTAGAGGTAGATGTCATTATTCGGCTATGACCTTTGAGATGTGCGAACCTAACCCCCCTTAAACCCTAAACCCTAAAAGAGTTCCTGAAAGGATCCTAAAGGGTCGAGGCCTATTTTAGACGACTTGGGTTGTTTTGGGGATTTCGATAACGGTTCCTGAAAGGGTTCCTAAGGCGTTGAGGGTTTAAGGCTTTAAGGCTTGCAGGGTTTTAAGGCTTGCAGGGTTTTGGGCTCTGGAAAGGGTTCTTCAAGGGTTGAAGGTTTAAGGCTTTTAGGGCCCTGGGATAAATGAAACCTTTCTCTTAGCCTTACAACCTCACCCTCAGGTGCTGCGCACGGCCTCTTACCAGCCTCTGCTGCGACGACATCTGCGGGGTGAGGCGTTCGGGGGCTTCTCTTGCCTGGGACTTCTACTATGGGGGCCTAAATAACTACCAACACTATTTTGGGGATTCATTATATTTATATGTATACTATAGTGGGCCCCAAAGCCCTATTCTAATTATTAAGGCTCTTTTATCCCCACATCCTTACAGAACCCCGAGAGCATCTCACCCAAAGGGTCCAAAGTATCGTTGTGGGGGGATACTTCCCCAACTCATAATAGTAATTCCTAATATCGAAACCCTACATTCTACTATAAAGGTACTTCAGAGCCTTTGGGCCATAAAGGAGCCCTTTAAAGGGATGGACTGTAGCAAGGCCCGGCCTCTCCTCTTGCACTGCCCGCCTTCCGCCACGGCTGCCTTCCGTTTACTGCATGTTCTGATGTTTACCTTAAGGCCCCAAAGTCCTTCCTTTTTGGGGTTCGTATATAGAATCCTATAAGGTAATCCCAAAACGGAACTACTTTGGGGCCTATGGGTAATGTTGTTTATTTTGGGTACGGCTCCCACTCAGGAATAGTTGAATAACACCCATAACATAGATTTATAGGGACCTGAATAGTAGCCCTATATAGACTCTTACTGTATGGGTGCAGTGCCCAATGTTTAGGGCTTAGGGGCCTTAGGAGCCTTAGGAGTGCAGGGTTCAGGGTTTTTTGCTTCCTTTCATGGGTTATTCAGGTCCTAATATATCTATCTTATGAATACTACTAACTATTACTGAGTGGGGGCCGGGTACCTAGATAAAACCGCAGACAAGCTGAGCCTAAGCATAAAATCTCAACATCTTCAAGCCTGGGCCTGTGAACTCTAGCGCGGCATGAACCTGGGTTCTCGTTCATTCTGCCATGCAGCGGGTCAACGCGCAAATCGCCTGCTTTCCGTGTCATGGTCACTTATGTCAGTTCAGGTCGTCAACGAGAACCCAGTAGTTCATCCGAAGCGACAAGAGCCTAAACCCCAAGCCCTCCAAGCCCCGCTACGAGAATCGTAGCTTGCCTAGACCCTCCATCCACCCTCTATAAGACCCGAAATGCCCGTTATTTGGGACCAGATATCCCTATTTGAGTGCACACTTGGAGGTTCATGGGTAGTTAAAAGTGGAGTTATAAGTCCCCGATGATGGGTTATAATTATGGTTACCTTAAACCCACTTATATAACTATCCATGAACCTTAATGCAAGGAGGGTCCTGCTGACGATAGATCCCTGATAGAGCCCGTTTGAGGGTCCTTTTAAAGGAACCACAAATCCCTATTCAAACTACCAAGGCTCCTATACCATATAGTCCCCTTGTAGAACCCTTATGGTACCCCTTTAAGGAACCCTACAGTAAAACCCCATAAATTTGGAAACCGGATTAAGGCCAAATAGTGCTTGGACTCTCTAAAATTACATTACTCTTACGGATTGAGGCTATTGGGTTTCCAACTTGTGGGCTTCTACTGTATTCTTTAGGTAAGCCAATGGAGCGTCAACTCCTGTGGAGCAGGTTGCAAAGGACTTCGTCCGGATGCTGAAGGATGAGGAGCCAGTGGACTAAGCGGGCTCGCGGCTTTATAGGGCTTATAGGGTTTATGGGGTTTAGGGTTTTGGGTTTATAGGATTTAGGGTTTACGCGGTTTGGGGTTCAGGGTTTATTGGATTTGGGCGGGTTTGTGGGGAGATTGAAGTCAATAAAGTTTCAGATTTCATTGTCGCACTAGGGAGATGAAAGTCAAAAAGGCATTCAAACTCTGTTGGTAGTTAATTCGTCGGAAATTGGAGTCAGAAGACTGTCAAAATCCACTGCCCCCAAGCCCCCTAGACTCATACAGCTCATGAGAACTGACATTTGCCAAAAGGGCCTCTGCCTCAGGCTTACGGCCTGCAAAATTTCGACATTTGGGGGTTGTGGTAAATGGATGAGCAGGATTCTACAAAAAACAACCGGCTTTGGACAAACAAAACACAGGAACGAATCCGCAAGCTTTCCAGGTTTGCCGAGGAAGGGGCAAAACCAGGCTTATCTGCCCCCACCCCCGCCCCCTCCCCTCGCCCGAAAAAGAGCCCAAACCTTCCCTGCAGCCCTGGACCTTACCAGTCCAAGCCCTAGAGTCAAAGACAGTTAAGCCCAATAAGCCCTCACGACTCTACTGAGACAACTTATTGGTTGTAAACTCAACTTTTCAACTTTTGGGGGTCTTACGAGGTAGTCGATTCTGATTGTTTCACCTTTTTGCTTGGGTTTTGGGTCAGTGAGACAAAGGAGACGAAGGAATCCTGGTTCTGCCGCGACGTGCCCATAGAGCTGACTTGGACACCTGGCAAATCTGTGGATATCCATAAGGGTACCATAAGGGTTCCTTTAAGGCTTGCTTTGAAGGTTCTATAAAGCTTAAGGGTCCATGTGCCCAAATGGGAGTTTCCGAAAATGGGGGGACCCTAGACTAGTACCCTACATAGTAGGATCCTTATTATAAGGACCCCCAAATCAGGTACCCCTAATTGTCGGAAACTCCCAAATAGGGTTCCTGTGAGGATTCCTTTGAGGGTACCAAGAGAGGGGCTCCTTCAAGGAATCTATGGTGAACCCCAGAAAGTTGGAACATAGATTTAGGATGATTCATGCTGGGATTCCCTATACCTTACTCTAAGGGCATGAGGCTAATGATGTTCCAACTCTCCGGCTTCTACTGTATAGGGTTCAACACGGTTTTAGGGTCCATGTACCCAAATAGTATATATTTTTTGGGCCCAATGTACCTACATGGGGAGTACTTTAAAGCCAATGTATATACTGTTTGAGTACGTGGATCCTTAGGGTATAGAAGCAAGAAGAAGTATCATTGCTATTGTGTTCATAGTAGTGACGTACTCTGGCACCAAAGCTACTAGGAAGGAGCTCCTTTAAAGGCTACAGTGGATTTTTATGGTTACATTACATAGTCCCAAGATACGCTGATGAAAACCCTACAAAAAGCGTCATAAAACCCTCAAAGGGCTTAGGGTTCCGAGTTCCTCTCTGGATTCCGTTCAGGCGCTTAGGGTTCCTTCTTGTGTGTGTGTGTGTGTGTGTGTGTTTTTTGTTTTTTTTTTTTACAGGGCTTAGGGTTCCTTTTCAGGTCTAGGGAACCCTGAAAGAAGCCTCAGGTTACTCGTTTTGTGGTTGTGGCGGCTCGCGCAAGCCGGGAAATCGTAGGCAGATGCATTTTTGGGGGAGATCGGCAAGCCCAAACCCAACAAGAACCAGCGTTTAGTTGGCAGGGACTGGGGAAATTGTATGGTATAATTATGGCATCCCGTCAAACTTGACGGCCCTAAAACCGCTATACTGCCATTGCAGAAACCCTCAGCATAGCTCAGGACCGGTCGGCATTTGGACTTGCTCCTCTCCTGTCTGAACACGGCTGGGCATCCCGGAAGCCCTGACAGCACTGAATCCTCATGTGTAGGAGCTTAGGATGCATAGCAGTTCCTGGGAGTGTTTAGGTTTTCTATGGAGAGGTCCATTTTGATCTTTGGTTTATCGGCTTGGGGTGAAACAACATACTGTAGCGGTTTCAGGTTTGGGTTTTACGGGTGTAGTTGTGTTATGAGTGTGTTATGATTGAAACCCGAAGCAGGGTTCGTAGCTGAGTAGGTGTCGGTTTTGTGCGGCGGTGGGGTCTAGAACTCAGAATGCAAATATAGAAGCCGGATTCCCCTTACAGTCCCTGGATGTTTATGCTATAGAACACCCGGAAATCCGATTCTGGTCGTTCTGGCCTCCTGTATTACCACAATGACAAGATCATATCACATGGCCTGGGACACCCTGGGAACTGAACCCGTGGAATGAGGTTACTCCCGGAAGATCTAAACCCTCATATGGGTGGTTGTCAAAATTAGGGCCCCTTTTGGGCCACCCCTTGGGTGCCGTTCTGTATTAAGGACCCAAAAAGGGACCCTAATTTTGACAACCCTCATATATATATATATATATATATATATATATATATATATATGGCCGCGGAGCCGCCCTAAACCATAACACCTCAGACCCCACTCTTGCCAGGAAGACGACGTTTCAGTCCTGCGCACAAGACTTGTTTTTCCTCCAAGAAGCCCCGAAGAACCCGACTTTTAAGAGCCGATGATGACCCTAGACCCCTTGAAAGACCCTGTAGCCTGGCAAAGCCTACTTGCTAAGCCCATCACAATACGAACTGAATCCTCAACCCCAAACCCTATACCCTAAACTGTAGACCATAAATCCTGAACCCCGAACCCTGAACCCTAAACCCTGCACCCGAAACCCCAAACCCCCAAAACCCTGAACCTAAATCCCTAAACCCTGAACCCTAAACCCTGATCCCCTAAACCCCTAAGCCCTATGGATCCCTTAAAGGAGCCCTATAAACCCCTATAGAATCCCTTTCAAGGAGCCCTATAAACCCCTATAGATCCCTTTAAAGGAACCCCTACAAGCCCCACGCCTTTTTCCCAAGAGAAGTCGAGCCAGGCCTCGACTGTCTGCCTGCGCAACGACATGAAGCAGGTTCAGAGTCTTTAAGTTTTGGTCTCAAAGGCCTATAGGCTTTAGGGTTTGGGTTTAGGGCTTAAATGTATATATATATATATACATATATATATATATATACATATATATATATGTATATATAATATGTGTGTTTTATAGGGTTTAGGGTTTATAGGGTTCAGTTTCATTGCTTCTTGTTTCAAAGGCCTGTAGGGTTTAGGGGTTAGGGTTCAGAAGTATTGTTTTTGCTTACGGGGGGTTTGGGTTTAGGGTTGGGGATCCAGTCGCAAGTCGGAGTTATATTGGCCTATGGGGGCTTACTTCAAGGTTCTATCCCAGACCAGGAAGGCGTGTGTGGGGAGCTGAGGAGCTGTGTGGGGTCTAATTGGAGGGTCGGGGGACTTAGTAACTGGTTATTTTAGGGACTAAAAAGTACCACAACCCCAAAAAGGGTCCCTTTTAGGGTACTTATAAGTCTACTTACTAACTACTTACTAAGTCCCCCGACCCCCCAAGTACTTCTAGCACCATTTACGGGCAGTGCAGGGCTTAGAGTTAGACTGTAGACGATGTAGCGGTGCAGTGTCTGCGAGGGTGCACTGCAGCACAATGCCCTGAAGCTTCGCCCAACTCCTCAGTGACTGAACCGAGCCCCGCCCCCCAATTACCTTCCAAGTTCTGCAATTTACCCTAAACCGCACAGCCAGACACCTGCCCTCGGTACCTTGTCCGGAAGAAGTCTTCCGCCAGGCGTTTCGCGTCTTCCACCGGATTGCGAACGTCATGGCAGGTGCATATTTGGGCTTGCAGGGACGGTTCGTGGCTTCGGGTTATGAATTCTTCAGGCCTTCAGAAGATTTTGTAAAGTTCTTGGGTGTTTTATGGTGCCTTTGTGTTTTGAGTCAAGCTGGTGGGATAACCCTAAACTAAACCCTAAACCGTAAAGCCCTAAACCCTAAAGCCCTAAACCCTAAGACCTATAAACCCTAGACCCTGAAACCTATAAACCCTAAACCCTAAAGCTCTAAACCTCCAAACCCTAAAACCTAAACCCTAAACCCTAAACCCTAAAACCTATAAACCCTAAACCCTATCAACCTTAAACCCTAAACCCTAAAACCCTAAACCCTAAAGCCCCAGTCTTTAACTTCGGGTTTCCCGGTTTGCGACTTGCTTTTAGCATAGGGAGTGTGACGGTTGATGATATAGATCCTGCATTGCCTTAAGGACCCTAAACTATGGGAATTATGGTATATTCCTCAGTATGGGTAATGCAGGATTTCTATCATCAACCGGAGCACCTACAAACGTCTGGGTGTCCATGCCGGCTGGAAGCCCTGCAAACCTGTAAATCTGCGGTGGCCCTTACCCAGAGATCCCAATACCCCTTAATTAAGCAATATATTTCAAAGCATACTACTAATTAAGGCCCCGTTTATTTAAGGCATATTCCTTAATTGAGGGACATTGGAGTCTCTGGCTTTACAGCAAAGATGCCCCCAAAGCCTCGATGTCCTGCGCAAGGTGTCGGAGACCACACAGATCAAGCTCGAAACTTTGCTTGCAGAGAGACTTTGGGGGAGGGTGAAGGGGAGGGGTTGTAGTTACAATGAAAACCCTAAGGGTCCATGTACTTTGGGCCCAATGTACCCTTCACACGGACTACTTTAAGGCCAATGTGTATAAATATATGTATGTATGTATGTATGTATGTATGTATGTATGTATATGTATATATATATATATATATCATATGAGTGCATGGCCCTTATAATTGCCCTGTAAAGCCCAATAGAACCCTTAAAGGAACCCTATGTGGATACATGGACCCTTAGGACAATGAATAGGGTATTTGCCTTGCAAGGGGCATCTTGGGATTCGCCTTGGAGGGGTTGACTTCAAACCCTAAACCCCTAAGGTAAACGCCAGAAAGTTGGAATATGATTATCCTAACCCTTCTATGGTAAATTATAGGGTATCCTACCATGAAACCATATTCCAGCTTTCTGGAGTTCCCTGTAAACCCCTAACCCCGAAGCCCCTGAACCCCTACCTAGAACCCCCCCGACGACCTTCATTATTGTAGCCCCGAGTAACATCTTAATATGAAATATCAGAGCCCTTTAAAGGGTACTTGGGGGTCTAGGTAAACCCTAAATCTAAGTTGGGGTTTGGATCCAGGCATCGGCTTGGAACTCCAGCAGGTAGAGTTGGAGCACTGGGCGGTCAGTCAGGGCTTTCTGCAGACTGTGGCCATCCCCGGGCGACCAGTGTAGTGTGTTCCACATATCCTGGTTTTTTGTCTAGAATTAGCAGGTGGCCGTAAGCCCTGAAAGACCTATGTTACCTTTTTGATCCCTGTAGTACCCTATGGGGTGCCTTGAAGTGCGGCCATATCACTTCCGGAGCCCCCAAACGTCCCAGCTGAGAGGAAGTGCAGAGGCGCGTGCCGCAGAGGACACTTCCTGGCTTGCACTTTGTTGCGGTTTGGGGTTTCGTGGTTAGGGCTTAGGTAGTTTAGGGCTTAGGGGTTTAGGTGGTTAGGGTTTAGGGAGTTTAGGGCTTATAGGGCATAAGTTTAGGTTTAAGGTTTAGGGTACCGGCCTGGGACTCAGGGCAGGCGTGCGTTTCGACGGAAGACGCATGTTCAGCCCATATTTGGGACATGCCCGCTCTAGCAGCCTAGTACGTATACGGGCCTCTAGTTAGAATAGGGCTTCGGGGGACATTTTACTATAACTATGCATTACAAAGAGCCCCCCCAAACCCTGAAACCCTATTCTAAGGCCTCTACATGAGCATGTCAGGCTTGCTTTCACTATGCAGGCAGATGTCTTCATGGAGGTCTAGGGACCCTTTGGAGGGGGGTAGGGGGGAGGGGGGTAGAGGACTGGAAGTCCTTTTGTCCTTATTAAGGTATTAAGGCCCCCTACTTGGGGGGTCGGGGGACTTAGTAAGTAGTTAGTATATAAGTAGAGTTATAAGTACCCTAAAAGGGACCCTAATTGAGGTTATGGTACTTATAAGTCCCTAAAATAACCAGTTACTGAGTCCCCCGACCCTCCAAGTTTTGTCCTTATTATAGGTATTAAGGCCCCCTACCCCCCCCCCACCCCCCTTAGGGTCCTTATGATCTAAAGGATTCAGGGGGAAACCTGTTGGCTCGGGGTTGCTTCGGGGCCTCGAGTATGGGATTACACTGGGTTCAAGAGCCCTAGAGTGGAGCCCCTGAGTAACGATGAATACTTACATTCATTGTTTCTTAATCCTTATCATGACGCTTTTCCCAGCACAGGTTCGTCTTGTAACTACCCCTTGACATCCGAACCAGAGGGCGGCTGCATGGGGGGCCGGGGTGCATACGGAAGAGGAGACGGTGATGTGGAACGAGCAGCTGATGCGTCAGCAGGCCAACATTTCAACACTGAGTTTAGAGATACTCAGGGTCGGCTTTTTCAGCGTTTGTTAGCTATGCCGGTGCCCTAATTTGGCCTTCGGGATTCACAGGATTTGTGGTTTAGTGTACGATGTGCGTGCCTTTGATGGGTTGCATTAATTCCGTTGGTGGCTTGGTGTTAGCCGCGATGCAGTTGGTAACGGCGTGGATAGCTGATTCGGTTATGGCTTCCATTGATTTAATAACACTCCATACACCCTGAACCCTCAGCCCTAGGTGGGGTGGAAATTGGGGACGCCTGGCACTGTTATATATAAGCCTAAGATAAATACCAACATGGTTGCTGAGGGGTCCTGATGATAAGTGCACTGTAAATGAGCCCCAAGCCCTATTCTAACTATTCAGGCCCTTACTGGGAGGGTCGGGGAACTTAGTAAGTAGGTAGTAAGTGGACTTGTAAGTACCCTGAAAGGGACCCTAATTGAGGTTATGGTAGCCATAAGATACTAAAAATAAGCAGTTACTAAGTCCCCCGACCCTCCAAGTATATACATTAAGTGGCCGGGGCTCTGGCGAGGCAAACACCTTGGACGATCACGCCTACGAGGAGCCGTGACCCTAAGCTTGGTTAGAAGCCCAGGACCCCCCAAAAGAGCCGCCTCAATAGTGGGTACTTGGGGCCCTTCTGACCCATAATCATGGGTATTTATATATGTTAGAGAGTAGTCTAGGAAGAACCTCAAGTGCTAAACCTCAAAACATTGCAAAGCTCACACTAAAGCCCCAAGACTCAAAATACTAAACCCGAAACGCCTGACACCGTTGCAGTAGGATTCCTTCCTTCAGGATCCAGTGACCCATGTAGTAAAGACTTCCATGTACGGCCTTATTAACGGTTTTATGGACCCATGTCGGAACAACTTTGGGCCCAAAGATAGGACCGTAGAATTAGAAGGCTCTCGGGCGATTTGGATCTCTAGGGAGGTTTAGGGCTTCGGGTTTAGGTTCCACGAGCCCAGAGACTTCAAAACCCTTGAATTAAATAATATACTCTACACTATATTGGGAAGCTTAATAAGGTTTGAGGCAAGTTCTTTGGCCTGGGGGGTTTGGGAGTCTCTGCTGCGAAGGAGCCCGAATGACCTTCATCCATAGTCCGATTCATTCCTGCTCGCAGAGAGATCTATGGGACAGGCTTTTGGGTTGAGGGTTAAACCCTACGGGTCCATGTACCCAAATAATACATACTGTGGCCCCGAAGTACCTATATAGGGACAAATTACTGTAACGCCAATGCTTATGAGTACATTGACCCTTAGGGTAGGGTCCAGAGATTTGAGAGTCAAGGGTTCATGGTTTAGGCTCATAAGGTGGCTTGTTTGACATGGGCGCGGCAAGCGGCACAGGGCAACACTCGCAGGCTTGAGGTCTGAACCCAAAGCCACATTGGTCTCAAAGTAGTCCCTGTGTAGGTGCATTGGGGCCAAGGTAATTGTACCGTTATACGAAAGACTATCTGGGCACATGTACCTTGGAGTAAACCAAGCGTCAAACCCAAAATCCTGAAGGGGCCTCCATTTGACTTTCGTCTCTCTCTACGGCTCTGCTGGTTTGCTGAGAGCTGTTTAGGGTTTACCTATGTAATCTCCATTGTAGTTCCTTTTTTGGTTAACCGAAATCTCTATTGTAGGATCCTAGCCATAAAACTGGTTAACCAAAAAAGGAACTACAATGGAGACTTTTGGTAGGGTTCCCAACCCCGAAACCCTAAACCGTCTAGTTGTGAGCCGCCTGCTGTGGGCAGACAAAGGGATGTCAACACTGTAAAAGCCAATCGTTACAAAGTCCCAACAGTTCCTAGGTACTATTATAGGGATACTTCCCCACATCATAACAGTAATCCCGGACATTCATATCAAACCCTACTATAACCTACTATATCTAGGTACTGTAGGACCTTGTGGGGGAGTTCGAAGCCCCAAGCCGCGTGCAGGACCAGCTCCAGCAGCAATTGATCTTCTTCTCGTTCAGTGGGATCGAGCGCATGGCCACTTGCCTCAGAACGTTTAGGATTTGCAGCTTGGGGTCTAGGGTGTAGGGGTTTTGAACGGAAAGTGGATGGGCCTGGAGGGCTTCCAAGGAGGATTAGGATTGACGGTTGAGGCTGAGGGCAGCCGGGTTGATGCTCCTTGGCTTCGTAGTTCCACTGCTATCCTCGGCCGTTCGCAAGAATGGCCCTACACATGCCAAACAAAAAACCTTTCAGCTCGGCAGAATGTGTGGCAACGTTTCCTTAGACACACTTACTTTTTACGTACTTACAGCATTATCTACCCCAAACCCGATTCTGGCGCTTGCATCAAACTTTTAAACGCCTAGCCCTGCGACTTATCATTGAACCTTCTATTGCTCAGACGGGCCTTTGTGTAGTGTACAGTGGGTGGAGACCCAGAGACTCCAATATCCCTTAATTATGGAATATACCTTAAATTATAGTAGGATCCCTAGTAAGATTTAAGGTATATTCCTTAATTAAGGGATATTGGAGTCTCTGGGGACCTTACTCGAGCAGGGTTCAGGGCTTATGCTCGTAGGTGTCGGGTTGAAAGCTAATGTTTCATGGACGACGAGATCTGGTTCAGAGATTAGGGGTTTAGGATGGAATCCGTTGCAAAGTCAGTTGCTCACGGCATTTCCGCCATAGGCCCTAAATCCTGATCCTGTGTAAAGTTGCTCAGGTGCATTTCCTGGAGATGCCCCCGGAGGATTTGGGAAATTCTTTCCGAGGGTTTAGTCAGGGCTGTAGGGTTCAGGGCTTTAGGGTTTGAAGCCCTGGATTTGGGGGTTTAGGGCTCCGGCTTTTAGGGTTTAGCGTTGAGTGCTCAGGTGAAAAGGATCAGGGTTGTAGGGTGTGGGGCTTTGGGTTTCGAGGTTTACGGCCCCCGGCTTTCGAGCTTTATTAAGGCCTTCGGTGCTTTACCTAGTAGTAGAGCGGAACCTTTATCCTTTTTCGGGTAGTATAGTCCCTACGTTATCCCTATATATCCAAAAAGGCTAACCTTTAGTTCCCCATGATACCCGACAAGTAGGCTATTGTAGCACCCTAAATAGTAGGATCCTTAATATCTATATATATATATATATATCTCTCTCTCTCTCTCTCTCTCTCTCTCTCTCTCTCTCTCTTGCATATATAGTGCCTTTATAGTAAGTATCCCTTAAAGGAGCCCTAGTAAGCACCCTTATGGTACCCCTTAAAGGAACCCCAATTTGGAGGTTCATGGGTAGTTTAGGGCTCGGTTTTGGTGTGGTCGGGCTGTGGGTTCCAGGTTTTAGGGCTTCGGTCTGCGGAGTTTAATCAAAGGGGAAAAGGAGGGACCCTTAATGGGGACCCCTACCCTATAATGGGCTATATAAGGGATCTATAAGGGTTCTATAAAGGGTTTAGGGTTTCCGAAAATTAGAGGCTAGGATGCCCAGTAGTACCCTTATTCCCTTTTTGTAGTCCTAGGCTCCTTGTAAAGTTACCCAATACCAAAAAGAGAGGCCTGTTTATTCTTAGGTTACTGGGTATCCTAGTAAAGCTCGGGCGGCTGAGGGTTACAAACCTTAAGCTTCAGAGCTTAAACGTTGTTGTTGTGACCTTATGACCCTACTTTAGAGTCAATGACCCAGATCCCCGGGGAGGATCTAGAAAGTAGATCCCCTAATTTGGGGTCCTATACCACAACGGGTACTTTATAGGAACCCCCATTAAGGGATCTACTTTTTGGACCCTCCCGGGGGTCTGGGGACTTCTGGCCCCAACATCGATTCCGCGCTCCCCTCGGGGCGGGGCGTGGGGAAGGGGGGGGGTCTGCTGACGTGGCGACGCAGCACCAGATCTAGAGCTTGTTTATGCTTCTGTGTGGCCCTAAGAATCCATGTGCTCATATGTTTGTTGCACGGGACTTGAAGTCTATATATATATATATATATATATATGTATATGGAGGGAGGGCCAAAATATATATACTATTTGGGCACGTGGACCCTGATACCCTATAGAAGCCTCATGGTACCCTTACAACGGAACCTTGACAGTACCCATAGGCCCCATAGTAGTTCCTTTTTGGGATTACCTTAATTATAGGATTCTAAGTATGAACCCCCAAAGTGAACTTGGGGGGTCGGGGGACTTAGTAAGTAGTTAGTAAGTAGACTTATAAGTACCCTAAGAGGGACCCTAATGGGGGTTATGGTACTTATAAGTCCCTACAATAGCCAGTTACTAGGTCCCCCGACCCTCCAAGTACACGGAGCCGTGCCGTGGGGCTTGGCATCCAGGATGGCACCCAGCAGCCTGCCGAGCCGGAGGAGGGCACGCTCAAGAAGAGTGTCACCTGGATGAAACGCGCATTTTCTTCTTCAAACCCTAAAAGGTTTAGGGTTTAGGGCTTTCATTTTTGTTCTTCAGATAAGGTTTAGGACTTAGGAGTTGATGTGAGGGGTCTCCGGTGAAAGGTGTGACCGGGTGGTAGAGAGTTGAGTGTTGATTTATGACCTGATCGACTGCTCGATGGATGGATTGATCGCTTAAGTGAGTGAGGGAGTACATTATCTTTGTCTCTCGGTGTATGCGTGTGTGTGTGTGTGTGCCCCTTCGCGTACATTGCTGCTGGTTCCCAGCTTGTAAATCTTTGGGTGACCTGGGACCAAGTAAGTAGTCAAGGGCCAGAGGCTTCTCTCCTGGGTACGCCGGGATCCAGGCATAGTTCAGTCAGTGTCTCAACCCTCAGCCCTAAACGACCAAAGCCCCACTACGCACCCTCACTGCAACCCGCCCTTCAGGGTTCTAAGCCCCTAAACGCCCAACAAGAAGCCTCAAAATGGGGGCCCGATGTGGGAGTTTCCGAAAATGAGGGGTACCTTATTTTGGGGTCCTTATATTAAGGATCCTACTATTTAGGGTACTATATTAGGGTCCTTTGTTTTCGGAAACCGCCAAGGACCGGTCCATCGCGGTCGAGTTACAGCAACAGGCGAAGCTCTACTTGGAGGCGCCTGTTCAGCCCTACCTGGGTGGTTGTCAAAATTATCTGGTCCTTCGTTGGGTACCCTAAATAATTTGGTGCCGTACTATTTTAGGGATCCAAACAGGGACCATGATTTTGACAACCACCCACCTATAGTCTCCATTGCAGTTCCCTCTCTTGTTTAAGCAAGCTGTTACTATAGTCCAAGGGTAAAAGGAGGCACCCTCAATAAGGACCCCTAGGTATATACCCTTAATATAGCTATTATATGCCCATTATATAGCCCATTATAGGGTAGGGTTCCCCATTCAGGGTCCCTCCCTTTCCCCTTTGATATAGGACCCTGACCATAAACTTGGTAAACCATGAAAAGGAATTACAATGGAGACTATAGGCATCCCCTTACACCAAACTCCAAACATACGCCCTAAACCCTCAACTGTAAGCGCTTCGGTTTTGGGGTGTAGGGTTTAGGGTTTAGGTGATCTTCCAATCCGGTTTATGGGCTCAGTGGAGGAGTTTAGGTCTAATACACCCAAATACGCACTATTAAGGGCCATGAGGCCTCTACTGAAGGGCCCATAGTAAGCTGTTTGAGTTAGGAACCCGGGTTTGGGCAAAGGACCCTAAAACAAGCAAGAGCCGTGGAGGACGCTTTAGGAAAGCTCAGCCTCAAACTCAAACCCTGAGATCCTGAAGACTTGAGCCTGAAAACGCGTAGGGTTTAGGGTTTAGGGTCCCTTATCTGCAAAACCTCACCCCGAGTCGAGGGTCCATGTACTCCTCCAAATACGAACCTACTACTTAGTTACTACTTCCTATCCTGAACCCAAATACCTATTCATGGTTGGAATTCATCGGTTCAATCGGTTTGCGATTACTAACGATTGTACGCGGTACACAACTGCTAGGTATTGCTGTTAGCGGTGCGGTGCGGTTCGATACCCCTCCAGCCCACACCCACGGTGGCTGGTGGTGTTTGGTGGCTATCGTCCTTGAAGCCCGATACTGCGATGCGGTATCATGTGGTGTCGACTTTTGCGATGTAGTTTTCTGCGATGGGGATTCGGTTCGGTGACGATGCCGGCTCGATGACGATATAAGTATTGTTGTAACACCCATGCTAATAGTTGCTTGGGACCATTTGGGCTAAGATCCCATTTTAGAACCTTTGTAGAAGTCTTACAGACGTCTCGTAGAAGCCCTATGTCCCAAACCTTAAACCTACGCCGTAAGCCCTACGTCCGCAGCCAACCCTTTAGCCCTGAACCCCCTCAGCCAATGCTATAGGGGACTGAATAGTTGTCAATCCTCTTCCCGGGGCTTCATGTTTGCAGTAGCAGTCCAAAAGTTGGAAACACAACAGCCTCTATCCTTAAGAGTAAGGTATAGGGTTTCCAATCCCAGCACTATTTGGCCCTAATCCGGTTTCCAATTGTATGTGGCATACTGTATTATAGTGATAAAAAAATCGCCCCCAAAACCCGGTAGCCTTGCGCCAACCAGCGAGACCCAGAGCGCCCAGTACCCGGAGATTCCAATATCCCTTAATTCAGGTAAATCATATTAAATTATGGAGCCTACTATAATCTAAGGTACACTCTTTACTTAAGGGATATTGGAGTCTTCGGGTAGAGAATCGGACCATGAGAAAACAAAGTCCCAAATCGAAAAATTCTAAGCCATGGCCCGGGTCTGCACAAACACAAATCCGATTTTTAGGGTTTAGGGTTTACGGTTTCGGGTTTAGGGGTTAGGGTACTATAAGTGCTATTTCCTGCGGCTCCTTATTGTGAGTATACCGTACTATGCACGGCAAAAGCCTCTTGTTCTGCCTCCAGGCCTTTAAACCAAAGCCCTAAACCCTGAATCCTAAATCCTAAACCTCGAACGGCAACCTTAACCCCAAACCCCGAACCCTAATTCTGCACCCTAAACACTGAACTTAACCCTAAACCTAAACCTTCCATGGCCTACCGTTTTAATTCCTTATATATAGAAATCATACTGGTGAAATTTCGAAAAAGGCAGGTTACTTGGGGTCCAGGTAACCCCTAAACCGTTTCTGTCGCCAGGGCCTCCTGTCCTTCGTGGAGTCTGCCGAGGCAAACGAGGTCGCCCGGGCGAAGAGCTCGTCGAAGCGTCCCTCGGCGCGCTTTTTGGTGTTGGGTTATGGGGTTTGTAATTTGTGGTTTAGAGTTTAGGGCTTTTCTAGATTCCTAGACACCCCAGTTACCAGCTCATGCACCCCAAATACCCACTATTCAGGGCAATAAGGACTCTATTAAAGGGCCCTTGGGGGGTGCTGGTAGTGTTTGGGGTTAAGGGTCTTAAGGTTCCGTTAAGGATTCTTGTGGGGGTTCCTTTAAGGCTCGTTTAATTCAAAATTTAGTAGTTTACAGGGGTTCCAGTCAGGGATTCCGTTAGAATTGAGTGTTTCTACGGGGCTTCATAAAGGCCTTTAGAGGGGATTCATAACAGGCACCGGAAGGATAGTTTCCTAGATATGACAGGGTTTCGGGTTGGGACACATTTCAAAATTTACAGTTTGGCGATGTTGGTGCTTGTTGCTAGTTGTTGAGCGATTTACATTGGATTGTCTAGGGTTGTATGGCATCGACAAGTGTTTTACAAAGTGCTGGTGATGCGTTGCACAGTACCGTCAGAATGCTCTCTAGGGTGTTTTCTGATGGCTTCGCAGTGTTTTGCTGGGTATATAGGTTGAGGGTTTACGTGCTACAGTTTAGGTCGTTTTGTATATGTGGTTTTAGCTGCAGGCCGCTGCGCTTAGCTAGGAGCCGTTCATTTTTTGGCTTTGTTTCTGTTTCAGTGATTTTACAAGGCTTCGGCAACCCAAGTGTTCTCGGCTGGCCATGCATTATGTTATCTGGCAGTTCTTGCCGTTCATGATTCCCTATATAGACTGAGCGCCCTAGACCATCCCGGACATAATCCCAAAGTCTTCAACTCCTGAGCCAACTAAGCCCTAAAGACGACAGCCCAGTCATTCCCCCTGATGCTTGTAGACCCCTTCTAAAACCCGTTTAGGACTCTTGTAGAATCAGTAGAACCCCTATAAAGCCCCCTTATTACCCCTCCCCCTTTAGACCCCTTGTAGAATCAGTAGAACCCTTATAAAGCCCTTATAACTTTTAAGATGACCCTCTCCCAGGCGAAGATCCAGAGATGGTCGTGCCTTGCCTGAATTACTTGGAGGTTCATGGGTAGTTATAAGTAGAGTTGTAAGTAGGGTAACTGTACTTATAACCCATATTAGGGGACATAGCCCTACTTATAACTACCCACGAGGCCCTAAACCCTAAACCCTTATAGAATCCCTACAGATCCCTTTAAAAGGACCCCCCATAAACCTTACTTATATCCCTACAGATCTCTTTAAAAGGACCCCCCTATAAACCTTACTTATATCCCTACAGATCCCTTTAAAAGGACCCCCCTATAAAGCTTACTTATATCCCTACAGATCCCTTTAAAAGGACCCCCCTATAAACCTTACTTATATCCCTACAGATCCCTTTAAAAGGACCCCCCATAAACCTTACTTATATCCCTACAGATCCCTTTAAAAGGACCCCCCATAAACCTTACTTATATCCCTACAGATCCCTTTAAAAGGACCCCCCCTATAAACCCTACACCCTTATAGAATCCCTACAGATCCCTTTAAAAGGATCCCCTATAAACCCTACTTATATCCCTACAGATCCCTTTAAAAGGACCCCCCTATAAACCCTACTTATAACTACCCATGGAACCTCCAAGTAGAGGGCTTCAGGGCCTTGAGGCTCGTGACTACAACTTTTTACCCCGGGCCTTCCGAGTTGATTCGCCATGAGAGTTTAGGGTTTAGAGTCATCCTAGAAATGCCGTATACCGTATTAGGGTTTTAGGGTTTTTTAGGGTATATGGGGTTTAGGGTTTAGGGCTTAGGGGTTTTTAGGGCTTAGGGGTTTAGGGGTTTAGGGTTTAGGGTTTAGGGGTTTAGGGTTTAGGGTATATACCGTATACACCCCTGAACCTTGAGCCCTGTCGTGGATTCAGGATTGACGGTCTAGGATGGGGTCGGAAAAACTAGTAGCAGGTCCTCAACACACACACACACACACACACACCAATACTCTAATGGACACCGGCACCCTTTTCTATAGTTGTTTCAGACCCCTACATCAAGGGCTGCTGGAGAGGTTTCAAAGGGAGCTCGTGGATTTCCAAATCGACAACTACGGTTGGTGGATGTGATACGGTTGATGGTACAGATCCTGCATTACCTCAAGGACCCTGATCTATGGGAATCATGGCATATTCCTTATTATGGGTCATGCAGGATTTATTCATCATCAGCCGTGGCCCAGTCAACCCTTATTGCGCTGCCCTAAACCCTAAACCCTTATGGCCTTAGTGCTCTGCAGTATCATCGCGCCATAAGCCCTAGGACACCCTACCAAACGCACGAACCCTTAATTGAGACCTTGTAAGGGTTCTATAAGGGCTCTGGGCTTAAGAAGGGGATAGGGGTTTTACAAGTGTACTACAAGGGTTCCTTTAAAGTTCTTGTAAGTGCTAGGACCCAGAGCAGGCCCTTGTTCCCGTTTTAAGGTTCAGGTTCTCTTATAGCCCGCTTTAACCCAAACAGGGGCTCCCTTGTTCTTTTTCCTAGGTTACTCTTGGGTCTACTATAAGATCCCTCAATTGAGTCCTGTACATACCAATGGAAGTATCTTGCAGTGATTGAGGCTAGATCCTAAACCTTAAGCACTCGTGGCTTGTAACCTTGATCACTAAACCTAAACCTTAGACATTAGACCCTAAACCCAACCTTAACCCCCCTGAACCCTCAAACTTAGCCCTTAAAACCTGGACCTTCAGCCCTTAGCCATAACAAGCCGGGCAAGGAGATTGAAGACACGGAGATTCCGAAGCTGGGATCCCGCGGGGAGGAGCTGCTTCGGCAGGCCTCCGGTAAGGGCTCGGGTTGGGGATTTAGGGATTTGGGTTTGGGGTTTAGGTTGTCGGGTAATTAGAGTTCAGGGAGAGTGTGTGTGTGTGTGTGTGTGTGTGTGTGTGTGTGTGCGTGTGTGTGTGTGTGTGTGTGTGTCGAGTTTAGGGTTTAGGCTATCCCCAAATAACCTACCTATTTCAGGACTTATATAAGGAAATCATACTCGGGTTCTTCCGGGTCTAGGCTTTATTTAGGGTTAAGGGTGTTCTGTACGGCTTGCTTTAAGGGCTCTTTCAGGGCTCCTATCCAACAAGGGCTTCCTGAAGAAGTTCTATGGAGCTCTTAAAGGAGCCCCTTGAAAGAACCGTTAAAGGAATCCTACAAGGATCCCCTGAGGGCTTACTTGGAGGGTCGGGGGACTTAGTAAGTAGTTAGTAAGTAGACTTATAAGTACCTTAAAAGGGACCCTAATTGGGGTTAAGGTACTCATAAGTCCCTAAAATAACCGGCTACCAAGTCCCCCGACCCTCCAAGTAGGGGTTTCGGGAGTCGGGTTTAGGGTGGAGGAAGGCCTTAGGGGGAATACTTTGGTCTCTACTTAGGGTTGTGGGTTCCGGGTTCAGGGAGGGCTTGGGATACAGAGGACGTCGCGGGTTGAGGTTTAGGGGTTGAGGGTTTGGTAGGGTTTAGGGTTGTGGGGGTTTAGGGGTTTAGGGTTTTTTGACTCAAGGTTTGTCGGAGGTTCTGTGCGGTTGCGGGGTTTGGGGCTCTGCGGTTTGTACTGTCTTAACTGGGGTTGCCGCTACGAGAGAGAGTGAGAGTCCTGTGTTTATGGTTCAGGAGTTCAGGGTGGGGCAGGATTTTGCAAGGTGTCAGGGCTAAGAATCAGGACGTCGCGGGGTCAAAGCTTTCAACCGGGATCTTTGTGCTATATTATTTGGGGTTCGTTTTTTCCTTAGGTTTCGAGTTCAGAGTTTATATTGGGTTTCCAGTGCAGGACCTATTTGGGTTCCCCGATCCCGAACCCTAAGACAGCTTTCGCACGACAAGTCCCTATGTCGACTCGAAGCCTTATGCTTTTTGAACCGTAAACCCTAAACCCGAACCCACAACCACCCCACAGAGGGAAGAGCGACCCCACACCCCACACATCCCCACACCACAGGGGGCCACGCAATTTCCACCACCCTACACCAACTGTACTGGCAAGTCCCAGAGCGACCCTGCAAACCTGAACTCGAACATCCCGAACCCCTAAGAGTCACAAGACCTAGATTGTAGATCGCCGCACTCATGAACCCTAATTACACCCGAAGCCCGGCACGCACTGAGAGTCCCAAGACAAACCGATGCCCCGCCTGTCCAGCTCAGCAGGTTTACGCCATGGAAGGCCCGCCAAGAAGCCGTCAGTCAGGGCATGGGGCACCCGGGGTTTGCCTACAAATCTCGAGTCTTGTTGTGTTTACTAATGTACTTTCTGGGTTTCTGGGATCCGAACCGTGAAATTTGTTAACCTTGACAACGGAACTGCAACGAGACTGTAGTAAAACAAGAGGGTACCGCAGTCAGAATGTGCCCTTTCCAAGTGCACTTGAGGATTTACAGGTTCAAGATTGTAGTGTGTGGATTGGTTACAGGATTTATGGATTCATGAGCTCGTCTGGCCCCCGGATTCTTGTCGTTTAGTGTTGTTAGTCTGTTTCAGTCTCTCGAACCTTAAACCCTGAAGCCTAAACCCTAACAGTTGGCCCGAAAACCTCAACTAATTCCGAACTAGCCGTCTTCGTCCTAGTAGAACCCTTAGAGGCACGTTTAAAGAAACACCACACAGTAAATCTTAAACCCTCAAGGCGACATGCACCCTGGAAGGAAGTGCATAAACCCTCATAAGAACCCTACTTGCAGGGTCGGGGGACTTAGTAACTGTTTATTTTGGGAATTATAGCAGCCCTGATAGGTACCATAACCCCAATTAGGGTCCCTTTTAGGGTATTTATAAGACTGCTTACTAACTACTTACTAAGTCCCCCGACCCCCCAAGTACAGCAGCTTTCTCCTCGAATGCCAGGATGGCAATCGCTGCGGCACTCCGGCGCTCGAGAGGACGTGGATGTGGCCCGACAGAATTATTCGAAGCCCCCATTCTGTGCTGCTTTGATATGGTTCTGGAGGGTTTTTGGGATTTAGGGAGCTGGGCCACTAGAGCCATTCAATGCGCAACAACCATTGAAGGAGGATCGCACAGGAAGGGAACCCTGCCGTCATGCAAGCAATAGACACAGTATTCCTGCTGCAAACATCTGATGAACGAATCCTTTCTGAGAGTCTTAAAAATTATCACCTAGACCCTACCCAGAGGCCCCATAGTAGTTCCTTTTTGGGATTACTTTATAGGCTTATAGGATTCTATATACGAACACCGAAAAGGAGCTACTGTGGGGCCTTTGGGTATAATGCCTCTTTGGATAGCCGATGCTCTGGTTCAGATCCCATTGATTCAGAAACTAGAGTACGCTGAAACGGCACGATAGTTAGGGTCTAGATAGGATCGCCTGTTTAAGGTCTATCTCCGGGCCGGCGGGCTGTTTGGTGTCGTCCGATCGTTGGGACACATGTAAAAAATGCGCAGCTTATCATATCCCCTAAACCCTAAACCGTTGCATGCAACGTGGCTATTAGGAGGCGCCACTAATGAGACGCGGCTCCGATGCTTTCAAGACAGAGAAACCCAAGAATACTTTTGGGTCAAAGACCGACCATGGTTTGCACAAGGATGAAGGCTTGAATAGTACGAGGAAGCATCGAGAACTTTTTTTCAGTCGTAGGGACTCTTGGGGGGTTAGGGGAGGGCGGTAGGGGACTATGCTTCCTTCATTAGGCCGCATAAAGCCCTTATTTTGGGCATTAGGGCCCCCAACCCCCCTAACCCTACTAGAGCCTAAATCTCTGAACCCTGACGCCTAGGGTTTAGGACTTATATAGGGTTTTTGGTTTTTGATGTTTTATAAACCCCATATTCTCTTGGGCTCAGACATCTATCATCCCAGGTCTTTACCAAGACCGTGCGCAGCGCAAGCGTGCCTCGGCGCAGCCAAAGGCTTTAGTAAATACCTGGATCCCGCATTACCAACTTTGACGTTGCCTAATTATGGTTTGTTTATAAAAGTTCTCCACAAGGTAGATTATTTGGGGTTACGCTAGGTTATAAGTTAGCTGATTTAGCTTGATCTATAACCCTCAGGGTCCATATGCCCAAATAGTTCGTATATAGAATGGGCTTAAATTAGTTCCTATAGCCAAAGTATATACTATTTGGGTACATGGACCCTCAAACCCTGTTGAACCCTACAGATTCCTTAAAGGAGCCCTTAAAGGAGCCCCCCTTATATGGTACCCTTAAAGGAATCCTTCAAGGAGCCCGTTTGGGTACAGGGACCCTTAGTGTAAGTCTCAAGAGAAATCCGAGACGTGGGGATTAATACTTGGAGGCTCTGGGCCCCAGGAATATTGCCGCACATAAGGCTGCTGGGCTTAGAGTTTAGGTTTCAAGGTTTAGGGTGTAGGGTTTAGGATGCACTTTGAGTGTACATCGTTATCCCTCTTCCAGTTCTCGTCTGCTATCACAACTACAATGACCCGAGATCTTGATCACTGCGTACATGAGACGGTTTGCGAGAAGCGGTAAACCCTAAACCCGACACCGCCAGCTGTTGTGTGCCGTTCGATTCGGCAGCCATCAGGGTATTGGATGAACCTTTTCGGGTGCTCACACAGGTCCTCGAGCCGCAAGAGGCTTAGAGCATACTATTTGTGTATAGGTTTGCTTAAAGGTTGTCGGTTTTGATATGTCTGTGGGAATTCCCTTGAAGGATCAGGGGATGGTGAAAGTTGCATGCCAGAGTATGCCGGAGGTCTGATGTCACGGGCCGAACTTCGCCACGTCGGAATATGCTTTTGGGCCAGCTGCCGTACATGATTCCACGACAACCAAACCATGACCCACACCAACACCTGCGTTTCAGGTCACAGAAACCTACTGTTACCGTCGAACTGTACATCAACCTTCCCCAAAGGGTCCAAGTAATGGTATAGTATACACTTTTCGGGCCCAAATACCTACGAAACACCTACTATAATGGTACTTAGACCCTTTAAATTCCAGTACCCCAGACTCGCAAGCTTCGGATCTGTTGAGGTCACGCTGTCAGGCGCTCCTGTCGCCGTCTCGGCTTTTCTTACCAGGTTCAAACCTTTCTGTAGTTGGGTTGCAGCGCCTGGAAGGGGATATGCGTGGCCTTGAACGGTAGATGTGTCGAGTCCCGTGATACGGGTAGATGCCTCTCACCAACAGGCCCTTGCTTCAAGCTAACCCACAGGGTCCAAGTACCATGACAGTAGGTACTTCGTAGCTATTTGGGCCCGGAAAGTATATACTATACCATTACTTGGACTCTTTGGGGTAATCAGAGCTTTGTACAACCGTAACTTTTGCAGAATGAATCCCCAAAGCCGATTGTTTCAAGCACTAAGCCCTGCAGCTTTAAACCCCTTCCCCTACACCCCAAACCCACACTGCCCTGCCTTGAGCTACCCAAACCTGTTTTTTGCAGGCTCCCTATAAAGTTTATTTGAATCTTTATTGCATGTTTATAACTAGAACCCAAACCCTAAAACCCTAAAGCATACAAAAAGTTAGGTTATGGGTAGTTTGAGGTATACTCACAGGCCCCAAAGTAGTTCCTTTTGGGGATTACATCATAGGATTCTAAATATGAACCCCCAAAAACACTACTTTGGGCCTTAGGGTACTCGGTGTGGGGCAGCTCTTGGGAGATACCAGCGTTGGAATGTCAGAGGATTTACCGGGTTTAGGGGTTAGGGGTTTAGGGTTCAGGGGTTTAGGGTTTAGGCTGAACCTTCCCTAAACTGGGCCCTGGCTAGATTATCCAAGGTCCTCAACGAAGGGTAAACCTATCCTTGTTTTACTGTCGCATCCCTGTTTTTTGTACATTGGTTTCTCTACTGGTAAGTAAGCCCTCAGCCCCTAAGCTCTAAATCCCCAAAACCCTTCTCCTCAGAGGCCCGACCTTTGCCGCAGATCCAAATCCTCACTGCCTCAAAACACCACCAACCCACCCACGGATCAGGGCCGTGAGGGCCCTGAACCTTATACCCCTGAACCGTTAAAGGTAACCCCTAGTGGCAAGGCCCGACAAGCCTTCAGCAGCGAAGATGGCATCGCCTCCTTGTTGAATGTCCTCCGCTCAGGTTTGTTTTTTTGCTCAGGCATCATATAAAGGGGACTCCGGGGTTTCCATTGTAGCTCCTTTTTGGGGTTAACCAGTTTTATGGTTAGGATCCAATAATAGAGGTCTTGATTACCAAAAAAAAGGAACTACAATGGAGACTATAGGTAGTGTTTGGGCTCCACCTTAACCCCAAATAACCTACTTTTCTGAGGTTCCCTTGAGGAAACCATATTATGGAGCCCGAAAAGGGTAGGTTTCTAAGGGTGCAGGTGGGGTTCAGGGTTTGAGTGTTTTGGGTCTAGGGTTCAGGGAAGGTGGTTCAGGGTGTTTCGTTTATGTCAGGCTTAGTGATTAGTTAAGGAGTGTCTGCGAATTGCATATTGCGGCCCAGGCATGTGGGTTTTGCAGGATCCAGTATTTCATGGTATGGGGCTTAGGCTTCACCCTAAACCCCATGCAACATCAACCATGTCTTTTCAGGTGCTTGTTTGTACTGTAGTCTCATGCAGGGTCGTAGCCGTTAAACCTTAAAGGCCCCCTATCCTGCTCTGCGTCCTCACACAGGTGGTTCTTGAAATTGGGGATTGATTTTTCGTGGTCAAATTCGTCCTGATTGTAGACTCTGACAGTAGCGAGGTTGAAGTTGAGTCTATGGATTTTGCTTTGCTATGGGCCTTACAGGACTTTTAAACCATTACAGTGAGCACCGCAAGCGGGAAATGCCGCGGCACTGCAACTTTCAAGCACGGCTGGCAAGCATAGCAGAGACCTTAAACCCTGAACCCCGAAACCCCAAACCCGAAACCCATAAAGCCCTGCAGTGTGGCGAAGGCACAGCTGCTCGCCCAGCTAGGGCTTCTTCTTGAAGCATGGCGTTGCGCTTTGCTTTGAAAACGCAGAACAAGTTTGGGTTTGGCCTGCTGGCTACAGGTGAGGAGACGGAAGCATCAGAGGAGGCTGGCACTGAAGAGGGTAGTTCGCAGGATCTGAATGGTACGGAAAAGGATGTTGCTGACGAAAATTCAGATGAAGCTTGCAGCGCGTAGTCCGAAACCCCCTCAGCAGCCCAAGCTTAACTTCTCCGCAGTTGACCGCCCCCCTAAACCCCTAAGCCCTGTAAAGCCCTTAAACCCCCTTAAACCCTGAACCCGGAAGCCCCTCAACCCCGAGGCCCTTAACCCTAAAGCCCCCCAAGCCCCCCTAGCCCCCCTAAACCCAAACCCTCAAGCCCCTAAGCCCCTAATCCCCCCCAAAGTAAACCCTGGTAGAGAACCCTTCCGAACCGCATGGGGCGCTCAGGATCTTTTCGGGCGATCCCAGGGCAGCCATCATCAGAGCCGCATTGCATCAATTGGAAAGAAGCTTTAGGGTTCAGTTTATATAGTTATATAGGGTTTAGAGTTAGCTCTATAGGGTTTAGGGTTTACAGGGTTTAGGGTTTAGAAGTTTATAGGGTTTTTCGGGTTTAGTGCTGACTTTAGGGTTAAGTTTAGGGCTTATAGGGTTTAGGGTCAACTTGAGGGTTAGGTTTAGGGTCGAGGTTTAACTTTAGGGTTTATAAGGTGTATCGGACTGTTATAGCGATGTTAGTTAATCGGGGTTTGGGTTGTTCGTGCTTGTCTTGCTTTACTCGTGGATCCAAACCTGCACAATGGTAGGTTACAATTCCACATCGGTAAGAGGCAGTATTTACCTTCAAGTACCATAACCTACTTTTTGCAGCTTCTTATCGTAAGCCCTAAAATATGAATTTTTGGGGACCACAGTTCTTGTTAAGGGATTTAGTTTAGGTTACGATAATAGTTTTTACCCGGAAACCACATCATTTAATGTAGCCCCTATTACGGTAACTTATGCCTTAAGCCCGTAACCCTTAAAGGAGATCCATTAAAGGAACCCTTATACATCCCTGGTATGGTAACTTTAAGCAAATTTCCTTAACAAGAACCGAGGGTCGGGATCCGCAGGTCATTAGCTCCAAGCCTTCGGGTTTTCAGTGGCGCACGAAATTCCCCCAGATTTTGCCTTCTTTTAGTGTGCCCTGAGGGTCTATGTACCCAACGAGTATATACTTTGGCCCCAAAATTCTTGTACAGGGACTACTTTGAGGCCAAGGTATGTACTATATGAGCACATGGACCCTTAGGGATTACGAGGTGTTGAATACATTGGGGAAGTGAAAACTCTCTTGGTAAAGCCTACACCTGGTTTTGGAGTACTATACTTTTTGTGTTATGTTGGAATTGTTCCTGAAGGTAACCATCATTCAATAAGTGTATGCCTTCTTCTCCGCGGTAACTTCAAAGCCCAGACACTGATCTCCAGGCGCACTTCGCCGGGACTAGGCTTAGAGTCTGACTGAGGGCTTGGGGCTTGACTCGTTTAGGCTGTTTTGCATGCTGCGGCATAGCGTGCTGTGTACATGTTGGTGTTTCCCGCAAGCTTCTTACGTGCAACATGACGAGTAGTCTAAGCAAGCCCCTGCGCTTTGCATCGCTGGCTAGTTTATCATGATGTGTCCGAGTACGCAGCTGCGGTTCAGGTTGCGGGTTTAGGACGTAGACAGACAGAAAGACATGTTTGCAGGCATAAACATTGTTCATATTATATATATATATATATATATATATATGTATGTATATATATATATATATGTATATATATATATATATATATATATCTGTATATATATATATATATATATATCGGTATATATATATATATATATATATATCTGTATATATATATATATATATATATGTATATATATATATATATATATATATATATATATATATATATATATATATATATATATATGTAAGTCTGTGTATTTATATGTAGACATGTGTATATATATATATATATATATATATATATACTTATATGTATATCGTAACTATAGCTTCTTGTTTATGTATTCAGTTACACGCTTATGTCTCGATCACATACAGTAGAAGCCGGAAAGTTGGAATATCATTATCATGACCCCTTTAAGGTAAATTAGAGGGGATGCTGCCATTATTTCATATTCCAACTTTCTGGAGTTCCCTTTAATTCTCTGTTTATTTCCACAGCAGAATCGCTCCAAGGCCTTTGGGTCGCAGATGCCTGTCCGAGTGCGCTGCCGACCGTACCGAAGCGGCTGCGAAGGACACAGGGAGTTGAAGATTCCTTTTCAAGGGTTTTAAGGGTTTTAAGGGATGTTTCAGGGTGTTTCAAGAGTTTAAAGGTTCCTTTAAGGGTGTTTATAGGCTTTTAAAAGATTTTCATTGTTTTTCAAGAGTTTAAAGGTTCCTTTAAGGGTTGTAATGGGGTTCAACGGTTTTTCAAGAGTTTAAAGGGTCTAGGTAAAGGTTTGACATTGACGGGGTTCCAAAGAAAGTTCCTCAAACTCCTTAAAGGGTTTTATAGAGCTTTCCGAGGGCTGAGTTGGGGTTTAAAGGTTCCCCTAAGTGTGCCTACGTCCTTCGATGCCGTTTAGGAATTAGTGTTCATTCAGGGGGAAAGAGGGGGGTTTTAAGGTTCTGTACGCCAAGGGGACGAGGAGGGGCATCAGGGTTTAGGGTTTCTCAGCAGTGGGGATCATTCCTTTCGTAGGGTTCGCGTTCGGGTTTCTAGAAGGGTTCCTAGGGCTTGCCTTAAGAGCTTCTATGAAGGGAACTGCAGGGATTCTCGAGAAGGGGAGCTATAGGGTTTGTTATCGGGTATGAAGTTTCAGGTCATAGGGTGTTTGGAAGGCTTTCTGGGTTTTCCAGGATCCAGGTGCAGGTTGGGTTCAGGAGATAGGTTCGGCCTGGGTTCGGTTATAGGTCGAGTTTGGGGTGTCGGGTGTTTTGATGTGTATTTTGATTTTGGGGCTTGAGGGGCGTCGGGTTTAGCAGTTCAGGAGTGGACAAGACAAGCTTAAGTTAAAGCGACGTTGGACGTTTGACATCATCGCTAGCCGCGAGCTCTAAAAACTACCTATAGTCTCCATTGTAGCTCCATTTTTGGTTTAACCATTATGATAGTTAGGATCCTATAAGTAACACAAAAACACACAACATAACTACAATCGAGACTATAGGTATACCCTAAGGCCATATTCCTACTATACCACTATTACAGGGTTTAGGGGGCCCCTTCTAAGGGATAAGGTTCGGTCAACCCAAACCCCGCCCAAACCTAAACCCTATACTCTGAGCCTTCGGACCCCATGGGGGCGTTTCCGAAAATTTTGGGTACCTTGTTTTGGTGTTCATAGAATAAGGATTCTGTGATTTGGGGTATTCTAGTAAAGTCCCCTATTTCGGAAACCCCCATGGGGCTCTGCCAGGACCGACTCCTTCTTCGTTCCAGGCGGCTTCCGCTGGGATGTCTAGGGTTTACAAGGACCCCAAACCCTGAACCGGAACACAAGGCCTCCTGTAATACAGGGGCCGGAAAAATTCGATCAGGGTGTCTTTAAAGGGTTCCTTTACGGGATGCTACAGGGGCACTATAAGGGATTTAGGGCTAGAGGGGCCTTAATGATTAGAATAGGGTTGTGGAAGCCTGAAAGCCCGGGACTCCCACACACCCCAAGGCTGAACACCCGACAGAGAGAAAGCGAGACAGAGAGAGCGAGAATGCAAGAGAGATGTATATTCCCTCAACCTCGCACTCTACTGATCGTGATAGGCGTATGTGTACAAATACACACGTGCATACATATATATATATATATATATATATTACCATACCCTTCCGTACCAAACTATACCATACTAAAATGCATACATACATGCATACATAAGCGCACACGCGGACACACACACACACACAGGCACGGGTGCCTGTAGCAACCGGCAGCAGACACATAGTCATGCGGAACAAAGTTATAGGCACCATAACACTACATATCTATATATATATACATACATATATCTATGTATGTATGTGTACATAGATATACACATATCATAGTGCAGACATACATATTGTGGCATATAGACACATCCACATGGACATGGACACATGTATATGCATACATGCACATGCATGCATACATCTAGGTTCCTGAGTAGTACTCTTTTGCCCGTTTTATATCAGCGTGCCCTTGTTAAAACCGAGTAGTAGGCAAAAGGGCATCTATATCATAAAGAGGCTACTCAGGAACCCCGACATTACACAGTAGCGGAGAGCAGCCTCGGCGTTCCCCTCTTGCCGACGGACCGCTGGCACGAGAAGCGGCGTAGGTTTGAGGGTGGGTGATGGGATGTAGGGGTTGAGGGTTTAGGGTTTAGACGGGATTGAGGTTTTAGGTTTGAGGTTTGTCTTTGAGTCTTCGTTTCGACAGCACTCCGCGAGGCTCGAACGGTTTGGTAAACCCTTCCTTCTTCGTAGCTTCATTGCTGCGAATCTCGGCGGCATGTTATGTGGCTTTACTTATCCCTTCAGAACTAAGCTTCGCTTTGCCTTTTTCCAGACCGAACCCTCATGTTGGGATCCGCAAGACTAGGATTTCTGAGACTCCCCTTAATTAATGGCGTCTTGGTACTAGTCTAAGAGGGCATTTGCTTGCTCAGACCGTTCGCAAACCAAGCGAACAGGATCATGCAGTCCATTCTGGCAATCGAGCGAAAATGTTTGAATCTGTAAAGCATGTCGTGACGTCGGGGATACCGACGGTGCGTCGGCGCCCTGTGTGAAGACCTTGCATCGCCCTTCTGGATTGGGCATAGCTTCTATAGGCTCCATATATAGTACCATTATGGAATTTGGTCCCTAAAACCCTGATAAGGATGGTCTTGTGGGGCCTAGTTCCATAATGGTACCATATATGGAGCCTCTGGGGCTTCGTAAGGGGGCCTTGCAATCAAGATCCCAGCAGGAAGGCCCTGATTAGCTCCCCTAGACTTGCAGACCCCAAGATTTCCAAGTTATATATACATATGTATATATATATATATATGTATATATATATATATATATATGTATGTGTGTATATGTGTATATATATAAGTATATATATCAGTATATATATATATATATACATATGTATATCTATATATCTATATATACTTTTGGGGCCCAAGTACCTACTAATTACCTACTAGAAAGGCACTTGGACCCTTTGGGAGAGCTCAGGCACGATCTATTCGGCTCTGATGCTCCCCACCACGGAATCCGTCTCCGGATTGGTCAACTTTCGCCCCTCCAGCCTTGTTTTGGGCTGTGAACGCCAAGGGTTTGGGAACTATAGTTTAGGGTTTAGGGTTTATTGGGCTGCATGAAAGGAGCCTTTATCCTAGGCAGTATTAGGTAGACCCCTTGAAGGGGAGCCTTTTTGACCCTATTTTTTGGCTCTGACCTTACTGTTATAGAGAAGGTCTATATCCCCATGGGTCCCCCTGATCCTAACTCCTATTACAAAAGCCTTAAGAGCCAGGACTTATGACATGACTCGTTCGATGATCTACGTCTAAGTAAGTCCCAATCCAAGCGCTTCAGGCGTGTGTTTTGGGCCGTAGTTTTTGAACATCATGCCTTGCTATGGGCTAGGATAGCAGATGCCTGTCGAATCAATTGTCAAGCACATCTAGTTGCTCAGTATGCTCCCAACCCTAAACTGTTAGCCCACAATCTCGCATCCTAATCATATCCAAAGCATAGCGCGCTCCAAGATGCCGTTCCCACTGCGCAGCTGTAAGTCGGACCCATTATTGGTTTAATCCCCTTACCCCGAAGCCCTACACCCTTAAACCGAGTTCCAGCAACTTCAGTCGACTCTGCCCGCTGGTGGACGTTTGCAAATCATCTTGCGGCTTGAAGAGTTGTAAGATATGGGGTATTCAGAAAATAGCAGACCCTCAAAATTTCCAAAAAGTGCCGAATTGCATTGTCCAGCTTTGCCGCCTGATTTTGCAAAACTTTAGCAACTCAACAGCAGAAAAGCTTAATTTCATTGTTGAACAATAACGATGAGCCTCCACTGATGATGGCTGCTGGACTTTTGTGTTGTTTGTAGCATTGTAAGCAAAATCGCTTTGTATTTTGCATGTGTTTCTATTACCACCTCCAGCCACGTACTTCAACAGTTTGTACTCTTGCTTGTATCCACTGAAAACCCTTACGCTAAGGGTCCATGTATACATCGGCCCCGAAGTACCTATGTAGGACAAAACCGAATCAACCACAGGATATGCTATTTGGGCACATGGACCCTTAGGATTAGTAACTGTGCCTTTAACCCACTTGAAGTAATGGAACCCACGAGCCATTCTTCGCCCATTTTCGTCGATGGCGATTGCTTTTTCTTAGGGCCCATGTGCCCGCACAGTACATATGTTGACCTTGCAAAATGGATACCGTGTATGTTTTTACATTTATAAATTACAGACACATGAGACAAGCTGTTTTGTGGCGATGATCCCTTCATAAGAACATGAGGTAAACCACCAACATGTAGTACAGCTTAAGATCTGATAGGTACTAAGTAGGTCCGACCCAATATTATGTACTTTGGTTGCTTCCCCAGAGGCTCCACATATAGTGCCATTATGGAATGGAATTAGGTCCCCAAAGCCATGATATGGATGGTCTTTTGGGACCTAATTCCATAATGGTACTATACATGGAGCCTCTGGGTTCGGCCTTAATCCCTTTATATCGTCCGACGGGGTCATGGCTGGTATCTCTGCCAGGGCTACGCAATCCGGCGATGCAGCTTCGGTTGGTGGCCCTCCTGGAGAAGTGCGGCAGCCGCCTGATGTAAGTTATATATATATATATATATAATGTATATAGTATCTGCCAGAAAGTTGGAACATCGTTATCCTCATACTCTAAAAATGAAAGTATATGGAATCCCAGCACCAATCATCCTCGTTCCATGTTCCAATTTTCTGGGGTTCGCTGTAGGGCTCTGGAAGATTGGTTAGGCTTCAGGGCTCAGGGTTTAGGGCGGTTTGGGGGGGAGGGGGGGTCAGGTATCCAGTTCTAGATGAATCTAGCCTTCCAGCCGGTTCGTATTTAGGGTGTAGGATTGAGGGTTTACGGTTTAGGGTTGAGGGTTTAGGATTCAGGGTTTAGGGTTCAGGGTTTAGGGTTCAGGGTTGAGGGTTTACGCTTCAGGGTTTAGGGTTCAGGGTTCAGGGTTTAGGGTTCAGCGGTTTGGGATTTCGGTTTTAGGTTGAGGCCCTCAGGCTCCATGTACCCATATAGTATATACTTGGACCTCAAAGGGGTTCCTATATGGGTACTTTAGGGTATAAGTATATACCATATTGCTACATGGAACCTTTGGGAGGGCTTGCCAACCTGTTGGCTCATACCCTACTCCTTTTTAGGATACCTAGTTTATGAGTAGGATGTGTTTAGAAAAGTAGATAACCTAAACAAGGGGTAGGGTATGAGCCCACAGGAAGACCCTGAAGTGCTGTGTGTGTGTGTGTGTGTGTGTCTGTGTGTGTGTGTGTGTGTGTTTCAGGTAAGTGGTTTTATTTGGTAGAGTACGCGACCCAGGTCAGGTAGCTCAAGCATGTACTAGAAGTCATGTTTTTTTGTTTAAGTGTGGGTTTGAAAGGTTTTTTTGAGCCCTTAACCTAAACAAAGACACTAATTGGCACACCTCTCATGTCTGACAGCCCTTCACTGGACAGTTTCGCATTGAGCAAGATGGCGATGGCAGCGAGGTGCCACAGACTCTTGAAGACATGTGCCGTTATCCCTAAGGGTCCATGTATCCATATAGAGATACATGGGCCCCAAAGTACCTATATACTATATGAGTACATGGACCCTTAGGGTTAATGCGTCAAGGTTGCGCAGCGACTGCTGGGCACAGCCGGGTCACTCTGGGTGGGCAAATCATTGTGATCGAAGAGTTGGCGACCACGGAATCGGGCTCATGAGTATGATTATAAGATATGCAAAAATGCTCCTATACCCCTGCGCTTGTTATGGAGCATCTTCTAAACTACTACCAGAAAAGGAACATTTACATAGGTGCTACAGCTTGCTTATTAATTATTAAGGTAGTTATCAGACCCCAGCACCGATACGAAACCCTAAGCCCAGGTTTGGTGTTGTCACTGTTGGCTTTCCTCGCCATTCTATGGCTGAAGCCATCAACCTTTTGCCTGTGACCCTCCACGGCTGCGGTAAAGGATCGCCAAAGCAGACCCAAAACGATATCCTACCATCAGATGGGCAGGGCAGTGACAGGAACCCTTTAGAGGAACAAGGGTTCCTCTAAAGGGTTCCTTTCACAGTATAAGGTTTGTGCCAAGCCCGCCGTTGAGGCTATGCGGACTGCCATCTCGCCGCCAAGCTGCCCCTGGGCAGCAGCAGCAGCAGTAGCAGAGGGAGTATGGGTCTGTTGGGCTTCTTACAGTTTTAGGGTTTAAGGTTGTATCATAAATAGCCGTGTTTAGATGCACGATTTAGTGTTTCCGTCTTCAGGTTTCCAGCTATTACTCAACAGCCCCAACTCCTAATGTAGACTGTAGGCCCCAATTGACAAGCACTTTTCTCTTTGCCCTTATCGGCCTTAACCTGCGGATATATTAGGATTAGCACCCTGATTAAAACGCAGCTTCTAAGGCAGAAAGTGAAATTAATCAAAGGTTTGCCGCAAACCTTAAACCCCGAACCCCTAAGCCCTGAACCCTAAACTCTAATCACCGAAGCCCTAAACCCTAAGCCCTACACCCCGAACCCCTAAACCTCTACGTCCCAAACCATCTACGCCCTGAGCCCCCAAAGCTTTAGCCCGAAGCTCGCAAACACCAGGCTCAAACTCTAAACCTTACCCTAAGGGTCCAAGTACCTAGCTCTCGTATACTCTCCAAAATAGGAACCTACATAACTACTATCCTAAAACCCAGTACCTAATAATTGGGTCCTTTGGACCCTTGGGGTTAACTTAGGGACGAGGTGAAGCCTGAAAGGGTTTAAGTTTCATATACCATGTAGAAAGGGTTTAAGGTTCATACACCATGTAGGGATTTGTAGTGTATGGGTACAGGGTTGCTACCGATAGAGGTCATTTGCTCCCCAAGGTATAAACCCTCGAAACCTCGAGATCCCAGAACTCCACCGCGAAGGCTTGCAGAAGCAGGATGAAGCCCTCCCAAAGCTTCTTCCAGCAAGACCTCATGTGCCCATATAGTAGGTCCTTTGGCCTTAAAGGGGTCCCTATATAGGTACCCTAAACCCTAAGGCCTTAAAGGTAGGCCTTAAAGGGGTCCCTATAGAGGTACTTTAAGGCCTAAGTACCTACTAGATGGGTCCATGGAGCCTTTGGGTTTCAATATCCCTACGAATGCGCAGCCCCAAGGCACCCCGAACCCAGAAGATAAGGGGCCCTAACCCCCCCCATAAAACCTTCTACAAAAACCAAGACAAAGACACACAACCTTTTTCAAAAACTAAGAAACAACCTCAGGATGAGGATCCTAGCTCTTGTCCTCCGACCTCGACCGGATCAGTCTGCCATCGCCCCGAAGGAAACCTCAGAGCAGAGGTTGTGATATTGGAGAGTGTGTGAATTTCGACCCTCTCCCTAAACCTTTCAAACCCTAACCCTTAAACCCAAGAAAAGGCGTGCCTTGACTAGGCGTCAACTGTGGGCTGCTTCGTGTTCAGGATTTCGGGCGTCAAAAATTCCGAGGTTCAGGGGGTCAGCGGGTGTGAGAGTTTTTTTCCGGAAACAAGAAGCAGAACATGGAGGCCTGTACATACTGTTGATGATATAAATCCTGCAATACCTTAAGGACCCAAAACTATGGGAATTATGGTATACACCTTATTATGGGTAATGCAGGATTTCTATCATCAACCGTAATGCAATCCTCCTCCAGTCCCCGTTTCACCACACTACCCTAGGATCCCAGAATAGTAGTTCCTTTTTGGGGTTACCTTATGGGATTCTAAATAGGAGCCCCACAAAGGAGCTACTTGAAACTACTTTGGGGCCTATGGGCAGAATGTTATAGCAAAGAGCCAGCCCAGTAAGCCCTACACCCTCATCCCCAAAACCAATAAAGCTGACACCAGGCCCTGAACCCCAGAACCTCGGAACCCTAAACTTTTAAGACGAAACCCCAGAACCACTAAACCCAGAAACCCTTATAGATCCATTATAGCTCCTTTAAATTCCGGTCCCTTCATGAACCCTTAAAGGAACCTTAAAGGACCCCAAACTCCTGAATTCCAAGCCGCTATGGTACTTTTTGAATATGACCGGGCAGGCTTGGGAGTCTCAGACATCTGAGGCATCGGAATTCTAGGGAAGTTCAGCATCACACAGATTTGCACGAATTCCCCCAAGCTATCTGTAGGGTTTAGGGTTTAGGGCCCCAACGCTATCCATAATGAAGGCCTCATAGTCCCCAGAAGTATAACTGTAAGTGTCTAAAGCGGTTGATTGGCACAGGCAGCTTGTTGCGGTATCCGGCTTCTTTTGCGGGCGTGGACAAACAATAGAATCCAATGTGGTGCACTGCAGCTTGTTTGTATACACACAGCTTGATCAGTTTGCCCATGTGCTTGTCCTGTCCATGGAGTGAGCCCAATGACACCCCAAGTCCACCTAAACCTCAGATCTTCGAGTCCCTTCAAGATCTTTTCTGAAGATCCAGGATCATGCTTCGAAATGAAGCTGGATAATCTGGGCCTCATTCGTGTGGGGCCGTTGGATCTCAAGGCTCATATAGCAATGGTATACACAGATAGAGGGAGGGAGAGAGAGAGAGAGAGATATATATATATATATATACACACACACACATGCATACATACGTACACACACACACCGCCCAGACCGGTAACCAAACAACCTACAGTCTCCATTGTAGTTCCTTTTTGTGGTTAACCAATATCTTTATTATAGGATCCTAACCATAAAACTGGTTAACCACGAACGGGAACTACTGGAGACTTTTGGAATAGCCAAAAAGGAGAACGAGTGGCAGCACAGCATCAGCCTCGTGATCGCCGCGGGCCTGGCGGGACGCGCAGCTTCGACTCAACTCGTGGATTACCGTAACTACCTTATAGAATTCTTTACAGGGTACTATAAGGGCTCCTGTAAGGGATCTATAGGGTTTATAGCTTTATGAAGCTACCCATAGGCCCCATAGTAGTTCCTTTTTGGGATTAAACCTTCTAGAATTCCAAATATGAGCTTCAAAAAGGAATCACTAAGTAAGGGGCCTATGGGTAGAACGGCGTTCAGTCAGAACAGGGCTTATAAGGATGTGTTTTTGTGGGGGGTTGTAGGTGTTGTGTAGGGTTTATAGTTTATATTTTGTTGTCTTATAAGGGCTTTCGTAAGATTTTGTGAGGTTCTTGCAGGGTAAGTATACGCTCGACTGTTTGATAGGGCCAAGGTTTTATTGTACAAGGCCAGGTTCATACCGCGGGTTGCTAGGTTATAGGTTGGGAAAAGCCTATATTATATCATATAGGGCTCGAGAAACAATAGCTATACAGTGCTATATAGGTAACTGATCTTGTAAGGACAGCATCTTGCGCGTGTGTACGCTTGGTGCTTCAAGGGCTCGCCTGGCGTTCTGCGGGAAGGGTGTAAGTAGACCCCCCAAGTACCCTCGAAACACCCACAAATTAAGGGCCATAAGGGTTCTATTAAAGGGCCAGAACCCTAAACCCTAAACCCCTAAGCCCTATACCCCTAAACCCCAAACCCCTATTAAGCCCTATACCCCTCAGCCCCTAAACCCTAAACCTGGTAATTCCGTAGGATGTTTAGGCTTCAGGCTTCTGTTGCCGCACCTTATTTCTCCGGAGACCTGACCGGGGCTGGGAACCATTCTCCGGGCACCGTATGCCAAGGCAGGGATCACGGTTGAAGCCTAGCCGCTGTGGCAGTTAGATGCAGAAGTCGAGCTCCATCCAGGCCGACTCCACAGAAGGCAGCGGATGCTGTCGCTCCGGATCGCAACGGGCACCTCGTGCAGGAGCATACTGCGTTGTATGCAACGTTGCATTCTGACGAACTTGACGGCGTGAAGGGCACGTTCACCGTGGAGGTGTCAAGTTCGGAGGAAGAAGATGAATCAGCATTCAGCAGTCAAAGCTCGGGCTATTCGTGGTTGGCAGGCCGTGGTGGCGGTTCGGGCCAGCGCACAGAGGTCAAACATCCTACTGCGCACGGTCCTCCCGGATGTTCTTGGAATTTGCCGTCTTGGAATGATATGCCATGATTTTGAGGTTTTGTGCACGTTCCTCCTTCAACCCTATGCCTTAAATCCTAACCCTAAACGCCTAATCCCCTAAACCCCTAAACCCTCGTCCCTAAACCCTGAACACTTAAGCCCCGTTTCGAAGCTATCGGTAGGGTTTGCAAGATGTTGGAATGGGGCTTCGAATTCTTTCAATCGCTTCCTAAGAGCCTGCGACCAGGCTCCGGATCAGTTTAGGGCTTAGGGGTTTAGGGATTTAGCAGTAGCAGTAGCAGTAGTAGCAGTAGTAGTAGTAGTAGCAGTAGTAGTAGTGGTAGGCAGTAGGGTTCAGGGTTCAGGGTTCAGGGTTTAGGGTTCAGGGTTTAGGGTTTAGGGGTTTAGGGTTGAGGGTTGAGAAGAAGCTCGAAAATATCCAGGTCATAACATCAGACACCGGTTTTTGCCTGGCAAAAGCACAATCTGAAGATTAAGTTGTTGTTCATTGTGCAAAGTCAGCAAGCTGCAGCTGTTCTGCAGGAAGCAAGACATGCAGAGATGAAGTCGGAGAGTCTGTCAGAGCGACAACGAGCGAGAAAACCATGAGAAAGGGAGGCAGATAGCCGAATCTCCAGCAGCACGGGATGTACTGGAGTGTATGTCGATGCTTGAGTAAGTATGTGTAGAAAGCATTCATGCGTACTTGTCGGGGCTGCTTTTGTAGACAAGTATGCACGACGTTCCAATGCTATATCTGCCTGTCCAGCTTCTGCAGGCAAGAAGTCTTCGTCATAGCTGGGTAACATTTTACACTGTGGGTACTCAAACTCAATAAGGAATAAAAAAACTACATTTTTAATCCTATCCCAACCATGAACTAGAAGTTTTTGTACGTGCGTGACTGACCATGAGTGGCTAGACAGATGATAGGGACTCAAAAAAGCACATAAGCACAAGCATTTTATAAGGATATCCCTACGTTATTGGGCTTCATTGTAAGGGGGTTTATATGGGATATCCCTCAACCCTAAACCCTTGTTTTTGCTTGTGTGCTGTTTTGGGGCCACAGATGAGCAGACGGAATTGTCTGCCAGGCCCAGGCTACGGGCTGCTGAACCGTGAAACCTAACCCTGAACTGGGAGTTTCCGAAAGGCCTAGGGTTCCTTTATCAAAGGGATCCTTTAAGGGCTCCTATAAGGGATGTTTAGGGTTTGGGGTTTAGGGGACTCTAGCATGGGAGTTTCCGAAATGGGGGTACCTTATTTTGGGGTCCTTTTAATAAGGATCCTACTTTTTAGGGTACTATATTAGGGTCCCCTATTTTCGGAAACTCCCAACTAAACCTTGATGCAACTCCTATATCACAAACATTCATGCAAAGTCTTTCAAGACCTGTGTATCCCCGTAGACCACACGACCCTGCCGGCAAGCAGGATTCTTTTCCTACACGCTCCCATAGGATATGAAGCATGAACCCGTGTTGGGGATCATTGGGTCGTCTCTGAACAGTAAGACTAAAACTCGAAATCCAATACAGAAAACACCTCGCCATTACCTTGCCCTGAAAACCCATTGTCTAACCATGAAACTCCTAACCCTATAACACCTAATCCAAGGCTGACGCTGAACCTATAAACCCCCCTGGACCCTGCCAATCACCCTTCATTAGGCCCTGATGTAAGGAACGTAAGGGCTACCTCGGACCTTTTGGCAACTACCGCCTCAAATACGTCAACGTCCTTCTCATTCCTTCCCAAACCCTTTCTATAGAAACCACAAACTATACACGACCCCATAGGCCCTAAACCCTATAAACAACATCTTGAAAACCCCGAAAAACCCAAACCCTAAATCCTAAACTCTCTTCAACCCCAAGGTGCTGGAGTTGCTTTCTCCGCTGACGAGGCGGCTGGGAAAAGGCGCGGGGTGAGGTTTTTGGATCAGGCATGGCAGCAGCAGCATAGCAGGTTGTTTCAGCTGGTTTTGTGCAGCGTTTAGGGATTGCTAGAGAGTTTTCTGGCAGCTCGAGTTCTCAAGAGATCTCATTGGGCTGCTAGAGGGCGTCATATGGGTGTGGGCGGGACAGACTTCTCACAAAATCTCGCCTATGTTTCGTCTCCACGGCCCGCGCAGAATGCAATTCCAGAATCCTGAAAATGTGGGTCCTTCGAGCCTTAGGCGAAGGAAAAACGAACCCTACGATTTAGGGTTATAGGGGTTCAACTGATCACCATACGGGTCATAAGTATTAGCAGCACTATCACATTTAGCGTTTACTTTATTTAGGGGTTCCTTTCATGGTTTTCTGTCACTTAGAGCTCCAGAGTTCGCAGGGAGGGCCATAGCACATCTTCTGGAAAAGGCTGCCGACAGACAAACGGGACCCAGCAGTTCTTGGCACCCAACTCGGACCTGGAACAACGAAAGGACGGAAATGAAGGACCCCCCAGAAGATCACTACGAGCTTCGCAGCTCTAATGTAGGAGCCTGATTAAGAAATCCGGGCCCTATGATCCCGAGGGCAGTGAGATAGCTCGTACTTATCTGGAGACTTATAGGGCGCCACAGGGTGTTGTAAGGCTTTAGGGAAAATTGCTTTCAGCACCCTCTCCAGTCACCCGCTTGTATGTAGCATGAGCTGTTGGTGGGGAGCCCGTCCAGCGCCAAAATCTTACCAAGCCAAGAAACACCCCCCACACAGCTCTCGAATGCCTCCCAACAGATGTTCTAGCAAAATTCAGAGTTTTCGGTGTTCTTACCGATTTTTCAGAACGATAAACAAAGTCGCAAAACTTAAAGTCTTCCTACATGGGGGTCGAAGAGTCCTACAGGGCCCAGTTGCCAAGACTTCAGCTTTGATGGCGATTTTCTCCTATCGGTGCTTACGTCATAGCTGAACTTATATGTCTTTCGGGGGTTTCTTGCGGTTCTCCGCTTGTCAGTGTTGTTGTTCTTTGTGCGCTTCTTGGAGGCTTCGAATTGACGGCCACTCACTTGATCTTGGCGCGGGAAGCGGTCGCCCGACCTGTGTTGTTGGCCGCGCTTTCTCCAAATCACATCGATCCGCACCCTAAGCCATTAAAACTAACCCCTTAAAGATCCTTGAAGTACCCAGGCCTCTTAAGATGACAGAACGAGTCTTTTTCTTCGTGAGACGTTTACGACGATGATGTTATGTTTGGGTTCAGGGTTTAGGGTTTGTTGGGTGCCGTTCGGCGGCCCAGGGACCTCGACAGTCATGTAGTTGCGGTTCTAGAGATTCAGCTTCGAACAAGATCCCAAAGGGTCCAAAGTACCGATATAGTAGAATGTAGGGTTTCTATATTAGGAATTACTATCATGATTTGGGGAAGTCTTCCCCATAACAGTACATAGGACCCTTTGGGGATCTGACTTCCTTTTCTTGCATGGTGTTGTCTCCGCGGCGCCGCGGTCTGTGTTTGGGGGGGCCTAGGCTACAATCACGAGATCCCCTGGCCCGAACAGAGGTCCTTCGAACAAAGATACTACAGTCTGTAGTGTCTAGATATCCAAGAGCCCACTCAACTTCATATGGGTGGTTGTCAAAATTATGGTCCCTTTTTGGGTACCCTAATTATTAGGTGCCGTATTATCATAAGGACCCAAAAAGGGACCCTAATTAAAAGACAACCCCCAATATAGACCCTCAAAACCTACACTCCAACAGCCCAGCTCCCCTCAACCCTAAACCCAAGCCCTACTGTCTGGTTGTTACTACCCAATGGGGGAATGGATTCCTAGAGTGGTCCCTAAATAATCCCCAATGATCGTCTCCAGAACCCCACTCCCTACTAAGAACCGGATAGGGACTATAGATACCCTAAGACCCTTTATAGAACCCTTATAGTAACCCTTACACCCTAAACCCTCAAAAAGGAACGCTATTCCCTACTAAGAACCAGACAGCCCGAAAACGGAGCTTAAAGGAGAGTTCGAGATTTGCAACACAAAGGCTCCATGTACCCATGTAGTAGGTACTTAGGCCTTAAGGTTCCTAGCTAGGGACCCCTTTAAGGCCTACCTTTAAGGCCTTAAAGTTTGGGTTTAGGGTTTAGGGTACTATATAGGGACCCCTTTATGGCCTAGGTTCCTACTATATGTGTACATGGAGTCTGAAGGGCAACAGTGATTCTGCGCACTTTCGGCACTCATAATTGTGCCGGTTCCCTGTGGGGGGTTCTGTAGGGTATCTCTAGGTATTTTGATGGTAATGAACACTGTGGTAGTGCCAGTCAGGATTGGCTGTCTATTTTATGGCAAAGAGGGTACGGGGTTCATTAGGGCTGTCCCACGTCAGGTAGGATCCGGGGGGGTTCGATGCAAGCCAAAAGACCTATGCTTTCAGGGTCCCTCAGTCCGAAGACCCCCTGTCCACTCCCCCCCCCCCGCTTTGCCCTGAACCCTAACCCTAAGGCTCAAAATGGCCCAAAACCTAACATAATATGGTCTTTAGGCCCAAAAGCCTCAAAATATGAGTTCTTAGAGCCTTAGGGTAAGGCCTTTGGATGGTAGACGTGAGTTTAGGTGTTGAAGTTCGGGGGGGGTTTGAAGCTTCGGGTCAGTTTGGGTGGTGAGTCCGCAACTGAAGCCTGCACATACACCTATCAGCCCCTCAAACATCCTAAACGCAGAGCAACAACCAAAAACCGATTCTGCTGAGTTAATCAGCTTGAACCCACAACACCCCGCAGAAGCCAGGTGCGGCTGGTCAAGGCGGTTGCAGCAGCTGCAGCACGGCGCGACATATCGTGTGTTTGGTCATGTTCGCCCCGTAGACTTTTATTAGTCTTCAGCGACTTCCGTGCGTATGATTTGTTGACAGCGGGATGTGGATGCAAGGATCACTAAATCCTGGAGGGCACTAGCGTACCCCTAACATCTACGGCTTGCAACACACGCACACTCCAAACCTTGAGCTCATAAGCTCTGTAACTCTTGGGTAGTTGTCAAAATTAGGGTCCCTTTTTGGGTACTCGAAAATCAGTGCCGTATTCTAATCGGGACCCAAAAAGGGACCATAATTTCGACAACCACCGGACTTGTTGCGAAAGTATCAGACGCCTCGAGATCCTGACAACACAAGCCCTGTTGTGAACAACAACCCAGAGATCCCAATACCCCTTAATTTAGGAATACCCCGGGTTCCTTAAAGGGATCTAGGTATGAGAGATCTATAGGGTTCCTTTAAGGGATCTATAGGGTTTAGGAGACTCCAATATCCCTTTGTTCAGGAACATACCTAAGGCCATAACATTAAGCCCCCTATTGCTTAAGGTATATGCCTTAATTATAAGGGGTATTGGATTCTCTGGGAACGCCTGCGTCCATTGCTGGTCCTCCGTTTGAGCGTTGAAAGGTGGATCAGCGATAGCCATAGTGCTGGCATTCTTCAGAGTACATATTTCCACAGTCCTAGTCCCCAAAAAGACTCTAAACCCTGAACCCCTAAACCTAAAAACCAACCGAGAAAGACTCTCGACCACTAATATCGCTTCAACACTGAGGCCCAAATAAAGAGTCTAAACCGCAAGCCGCAGAATCCACCCCCTCAGAAAACTCCCGCTCAAGAAGAAGCTCACAACCCTCAACCATTCAACAACATGTAAGCCCGAACGCCAAAAGTTGATTGAAGACCCAGAACCCTAAACCACAACCCAATACAACTAATATTTCCATCTTGAAACCGACAACTGTTCAGCACCATACAGCAAGAGACTCCATGACCCTAAACCCCTGAACCGCAAACCCCGCTGACCAAAACGAGACCCCGCACCCCTGAACCCTAAACACTCCCCCAAAGGGGCCCTAAACCTTATGAGCCCTATAAAACCCTCTAAGCCCCCAAACCCTCTAAACCTTACACCCCTAAGCCCTACAAAGGCAAGCTCCGAAAGCAGGGGACCCTAAACTAGTACCCTAAATAGTAGGATCCGTACTTTAAGGACCCCAAGATCAGGTACCCCTTGTTTTCGGAAACTCCCATGCTACAGTCCCCTAAACCCTAGACCCTCTAGATCCCTTATAGGAGCCCATAAAAGGATCCCTTTAAAGGAACCCTAGGCCCTTGTTTTCGGAAACCCCACTTGGAGGGTCGGGGGACTTAGTAAGTAGTTAGTAAGTAGGCTTATAAGTATCCTAAAAGGGACCTTAATTGGGGTTATGGTACTTATCAGTCTCTAAAAATACCAGTTACTAAGTCCCCCGACCCTCCAAGCAAACCCTGTAGATCCCTCATAGGAGAACCTTAAAGGATCCCTTTAAAGGAACCCTAGTCCCTAAACCCTATAGATCCCTTATAGGAGAGCCCTTAAAGGATCCTTTTAAAGGCACCCTAGGCCCTTCTTCTCGGAAACCCCCGAAGTTTCACCTCTACACTGGGTTCAAAACTTCTCTCCCCGACTCTCCCCCCCACCTCCTCCTCCCCCTCCCCCTCCCCGACTCTCCCCTCCCCCTCCACCCACCCCTAAATCCTAAACCCTAAATCCTAAACCCTAAACCCTAAACCCTAAACCCTAAACCCTAAACCCTAAATCCTAAACCCCAAACCCCAAACCCCAAACCCCAAGGTGGGCAAGCTCCAGTTTAGCCGGAACCTCTCGGTGCAGAAGGAAGCCTTGGAGGTGCCCAGGGGCCCAGGGTAGCGCTATACCAGGTGTCCGTTTAGGGTGTAGGGTTTAGGGTTTAGGGGTTTGGGGTTTAGGGGTTTAGGGTTTAGGGTTTTAGGGTTTAGGGTTTAGGGTCTAGGGTTTTAAGTTTTTAAGACGAACCAGGACCCCCCTTGTACCCTCAAATAGGGGGAAAACGGTCCTAGGGTCTAATAGAGGGTAGATGGAGGGTCTCGGAAGTTTCCCTTCTGTTTTGCTGGGTTTAGGGTTTAGGGGTTTAGAGGGGTTAATTGGGGGATAGGGTTTCGGAGCGTAGGGTTTAGGATGCTTGTCGCAAGCTCTTCCTTTAATTCTTCTATAGGGGTCCCCATAAGGGTTCCTACAATGGTTCTACAAGGCTTTGTGTTTTTTGGTTGTTTCGCCTTAGTAGTTTATGGTGAAGGATTTGGGATAGTTTAGGATTTTGCATGACTTGGGGTTCAGGGTTTAGGCGTTCCTGGAGGGTCTGCATTGTTGCCAGCATTTTTTCTGTTTGCATGGGTCCTGGAAGGGCTTGGATGGGGTTCGTCATCAAAAGGAGTTTTCCGTTGTTCGCGGTGGGCCGGATGTGATTATATACATATATATATATATATATATATTACGTTTGAAGGTTCTGCTTTGCGGACTTTCTTGTTGTTCGAGTTCCTGAAACAGTATTTCGAGCTCTATACCGCCGGTTCTTCGAAGGGCTAGAAGGTTCTTGTAACTAGAAGCTTGCTTTAACTGTTTACGGAGTTCTTGAAGGAGTTCAAAACGGGGTTTTGTAACTATAGCAGGGCTTCTGTGGGGGGGCGGAGGCTTCGGGATCAGGATATACATGGGCGGTTGTCAAAATTAGGGTCCCTTTTCGGGTCCTTATTATAATCCGGCTCCTTTTATTTAGGGTTCACAAAAAGGGACCATAATTTTGACAAACCTCCACATGAATTTAGATTTCAGAGTTGAGTGTTTGTCCAACCAGGCTTCTGACTCAACTGTAAATGCTCACAGGGACCGAACGGGGGGTGGGGGTGGGGGTGGGGGTGTGAGGGTCCTACAGTCTCTAGTAGTCGATTAGGCTTTAACCTTGTTTGGGTAGTATAGTCCCCATAGAGTCCCTATATAACCAAAAAGGTTAACCTTTTGTTCCCCATGATATCCGACAAGTAGGAGTCGGGCTCTAGGAATCAGGGTGTAGCCTACTTCAGACATCTTCAGACTCTACAACCATGTGAGTTTTAACTTCAAGGGTCCAAAGGACCCAATAATTAGGTACTCGGTTTCAGGATAGTAGTTACGTAGGTTAGGAATTTGGAGAGTATATGATTAGTAGGTACTTGGACCCTTGGGGTAAAGACAAAAAGCATTCTTTAAAGGTGTCTACACGGATCTCGATTTAATTACAGGGGTCTACAAGGCTTTCTCTTTGTATAAGGTTCCAGAAGCCATAATGGATTCTATGAGGTTGCTCTAAGAGTTCACAGTTTCAACATGCGTTCGTTGAAAGTTCAGATTCTGCGGTTCAATGTCTATGGCTTCAGCGTTCTACAGTTTTAGAGTTAGGGTTCCGGGGGGCAGTGTTTTCGGTTCTACTGAAAAGCTCCAAAGTGTGGGATTCTCCAGGCGGCAGAGATTTTTGTGATGTTCAGAGGAGAGAGTATATCATGTCGGGTTTCGCTCATGCAGCGTTTCCAAAGGTTTAGCTTGTGCCGCAGGTGAACCTTGCCACTCTGTGCCAGACCCCAAAGCATATTTGGGACTTTGACTCAGTGATCCCTTTGTGGCTAAAGCACTCTCTGCCCCTACTGCATCTGCGCCATTTCTCCACATCTTCTGTACCGTCGGCTTGCACATCTGGATCAACGTAATTGAGGTGATGGCAAATCTTGCTGCAATTGTTGGTATCATAGAGGTCCTTCTTGTGAGTATCGTTGTTATTGTCGTGGTTGCACTCTTGCTTGCCCGTCTAGGCAGACTCCGTCTGATGTTCCCGATTCGCCTGGTGATGTTTTTTTTGTGCAGCATGTCAGGTCCTGGTCTGATTTAGGGCTTCACTTGGAGGGTCGGGGGACGTAGTAGCTGGTTATTCTAGGGACTTATAAGTACCATAACCCCAATTAGGGTCCCTTTTAGGGTACTTATAAGTCTACTTACTAACTACTTACTAAGTCCCCCGACCCCCAAGCAGGATCTTGACGCAGTGTTTTCCGCAAGATTAGAGAAGCACGTAAGTTCCAAGCTCCTTGACCGTCGAGCCCGAAGTATTGAGCACAATTTACTCTGTAACTACGACCCGAAAGCCCAAAAGCTGCATCCTTATTGGAAGTTTATGGTTCTAAATGTTCATATTAGCTCTCGTGCCTACTGACCCTACTACACAAGGATGTTCGTGCCTACAAACTAATTACAGACCCTACTACACAAGGATGTTTGGGTTGTGCTGAGCCCTGGGGGCTAAGATATCGGAGCTTGAATAAGTAGCGCAGGCTCCTTGAAGAGCTTGGCAGGGGGCGGCCTTATTTAGGGACCCGAGCGAACACTGTAACCTCACTGGATCTTAGAGTTCCTATCGTGGTTTTTGGTATCCAAAAGGGCACCAAAGTCCTGCAATAAGGACTAGGTAGACCCTTAAACCCGAAATCCTATAGAACCCTAGTAGAACCCTTATGGTACCCTTAAAGGAGCCATAGAATAAGGAGTACTTGGACCCTTAGGGACAGCAAAAACTACACAAGGTTTAGGGTTTAGGGCTTAAGGTTTAGGGGTTTAGGGGTTTAGGGATTAGGGTTTAGGGGATCAGGGATTTAAGGTTTAGGGTTTTAGGGGTTTAGGGTTTCGGGTTTAGGGTTTGTCTGTTTAGGGGTTTAGGGTTTACGGGGTTGAAGTCCCAACTCCTTCACATTGGAGTGGTTGTGGGGGTTTAGGGTTTAGGGTTGACGTGTTCCGATTTTTGGAACCGAAAACATCTTGTTCGGTATTGGGCAACTCAGGGCAGTGTCGTTATAGATGCCAGGTACTTCAAAGGCTCAAAGGCTAAGAGGAGTTAGTTCCATCTCAGTTTAAGATCTCGAGGTTTGGGGTCAGATCGGCAGAGTCAAACAACATGGTTCGGTTTTCCACGGTGGTTGGAACTGAAGCTATCAAGATTCTTTTTTGAACAAATCTGCCACTCTTGCTTCATATCTTCCCTACCCTGACTTGTTGGAGGCTGTTGCCGCACAGAGTCCGAAAGATGGCGACTGTAGTCATTAGGCCTGCAGTAATCTTATCCTCAAGCTCCAAACCGCGAATCGCGTTGAAATCTAAACGTGCCAAAGCCTCCAATGCCAATCCACCAGAGACGGAAAAGAAGGAGATCGGTGTCTGCTTTGCGTTACCAGTGACGATCACTAGGTCGTGAACAACAACAGTGAGAACTCGTTTTTTGTCGCAATTCGCTGAACCTTGTTGAATTGAGTATCACGTCTGTCCGTCAGGGATTCACGTCGAGCTTCTAGTTGTAACTTAGCACACTGGACGTCGGAGTTTCCGTGGTGAGTCAATGGAGTCCAGTCGCCGGTGCTCGCGTCGCCTTGATACTCTGCAAGGTCCATCGTCTACTGTTTACTTCTACCAGAAAAAGAGTGTACATCATAACAGAAGGCATAATCAGGGCTGATGGAGCCTTTGGATGAGTTTCTTTATTGCTCTGTACCCCACTCTGACTTGTGTGTATCCTATTCAGAACAGGAGGGCCAGTAGCAAGACTTCGAGACACGCCTACAAAGAAAAACCGCAGACCGGTAGAGTTTCGGCGGAAAGGTCCAAAACCTTAAACCCCAAACCCAGAACCAGAAATCCGCAACCCCAAAAGCGCAGATAACACTTTCGAAAAACGCAGATATCCCAGTGAGCAGCCTAAAAAGCATGGCAAGCCTCGCCAAATCGAGAAAAACGCAGATAATCGAAACTACAGATGCAGATCATCGCAAGAAGTGCGGATTACTTCTCCTTTGCGGCGGGTGTTGCAATCAGGGCTGTTTGTGTGTAAATGTGGCACATGCTGCGAAGCGGCAAAAGAGTGTCTGTAATGCATGCTTAATGATCTCGGGCAATGCTTTCAGAAGCCACACGGGGTGCGTCGGTCATGCAGAGGATTGCGATTATGTAGTTTATGGAAGTGACGCTCCGAGGTTTCAGAACATGGCAGTTCCTCAACCCCAAAAGACCGGAGTCTTCGGAATCCGTAAAGTCATGGCTGCGAGGCGATGACACTGGCGCTGGTACCGATGCCCACTGTGAAGGAGCATGTGTATGCAGGGTTAGTTTGGGATTTGGTTTCGGGACCGGGGTTACAACACCCTGTAAATACATACACTTAGTAGATTTGATTCGCTTTAATCATCCAAGTTCTATATTCAGCATTCACACTGGCACGTGCGAAGGGGCGGCGATTGTTTGTTGTCCTTTCTCAACATCGGGCTGCAGGGGGTTGAGTCTCCAGAGGTTCAGAATTTCCCAGCATGTCCCTTGGCAACAAACTCGTTGACACACAACGGTGCATGTGGATATGCAAAAGTTTCGATGACAACCTCGACACGGGGCTGACCAGGGTGCAAAGCCTGTACCGCAAACATGTTTGGTGTGGATTGAGTTGGTTCGCAAGTTCGCTACAAGTTTCAGAGCAGGATCGAGGAGAAGAACACTGCCAGAACCGCGTGTTCCAAGAAGGCCGGTATCAAGACACAATTGGGATGGACCATGGGCATTAAGGCATGTGCTGGCAAAACTGGACTGTCGCCGCTTTCAAGCCCACAGCGGAACACGGCGGTCGAGGTTGCCCACCCACACCTGAGCTGGTGCAGCGGACATGCTTTCCGATGACGTCATATCTGCCGTCGCTGACTGCCATGTGGCCTCGTGGAACCTAGGATGCTGCAAACATCACAACTTGTAAAACCCTAAACTCTAAGTCCAAACCATACGAGCTTACGCACGACTCAACGGTAGGGGGCAAAGGTGCGGTGACAGAATTGATCATAGTACTTTCGAGCCCTTCCCCAGCATACCTTCGACCATTGCTGTCCACGCGCCTCCTCGAGCTGCCCTGGCCCTAGCTCCTAGTTCATATCGTGTTCCAAGACCCTCCAAGGGCCCTTTAATAGAGCCCGTATGGCCCTTAATAGTGGGTGTTCAGGGTGTAGTAGGGTAGTTGGCGGGTCTAGGTTTGGTTGAAGGATAGAAATATATTAAGGTCGATGGCATAAACAAGGAGTTGCGTACATGTTGGATACCATGGGGAGAGCCCGGCTGACTTTAGTTACAGTCGCCAGGACTAGGTTGAGTACCTATAGAAGCAGTGTCAAGAAATGCAGCATGCCCTGTAAGCCGTAATCAGCCCTTAACCCGAACCCCCCCCCCCCCCGCCCTTCCCCCTAAAAAGTGGATAACATTTGTAAGCACCCAACGCTCACCGTAAATCCTAGTCGAAGTCCTGGGAGCTGTGAGGCTTAAACCCATGAGTTATCTTCAACTACTTTGTCGCCAAGCCCGGAACCATAGATGTCATTGCAATTTAGGGCTTCATGAGTGGCTGCAGGCCGCATGTACCTCAGCTCGTGGTCTAAGTAATACTATGATGTGATATATTGCTTGTTTCGCAAAGGAGATCGTGATGCTCCTCCTCTACGATATGCAGGCACGGGCTTATCCTCGAGCCTTCTGGGTGCTTCGCAGTGCAGATTGGCCCAGGATTAGTCTTGCGACGTTGCGGTCTGATTCCCGAGGGTTCATGTAGGGCCAGCGTGTATATGTCGTACATAGACCCCGAGGCATTGTGGGTTCTTTCCTGAGTCTCAAGGATCAAGGGGCCCTGAACCCTAGACCCTCGAACCCGTAAGCCTAAACCGGATGACCTAGCGCTATGACAGTGGGAAAGTTGTGGGTTCGGATTCCCGGATGCCATGGTATGAAATGCAGGGTGTATATGAGTCTACAAGCTTCGGACTCTGTAGGGGTACAGCGCCGGCTGAGTCCCAGAAGGTCCAGCATAAACTGGCGGTTGGAGCAGCTTGTGGAGTCGGGCGCCGACGTCAAAGACGCCGCCATACTCCAAGCTTGATGAGAAGCCGGAGCCATTCCGCAGCTTCAGGATGTGACACAGGATGTGGATTTTGTGTTTAGGATTTAGGGTTTCATGATGTGGGTAGGGGACGGCTGACTTCGATCCATTTGGCCTTGACCGCGGATTTGCATGCGCTGATGCTACCGCCAGTTGAGCCTGCCGGAAACGATCAAAGCAAAACACCGGACCCACGTACGAACGACTGGCCCTAGACCCCGAATCAACCCTAAACCCTAAACTCCTAAGCCCTAAGCCCTAAGCCCTGATCCCCTGAACCCCTTAGTTATAAACCCCTGAACCTTAAACGCTAAACGCCGTACACCCCGAAGAATTCCCTGAGCCTCACAAGGGCATCCGGCATACATCGGAAGATCGAAAGCCGCAGACCAAACGGACCCCGCGATAAGTACTTAAAGAGGAACTTCCGAAAATTGGGGGTTTAGAAAATAGGGTTCCTTTAAAGGGTTGCTGTAAGGATGCTATAAGGGCTCCTTCAAAGGGTTCTCTAATGGTTTAGAGTTTCCGAAAATTCAGGGTACCTTATTATGGGGTCCTTATAATAAGGACCCTACTATTTCGGGTACTATGGCCCCTATTTTCGGATAGTAGAGTGTAGGGTTTCTATTCTTAGTAGGTGAGGAGGTAACCTTTAACCCTTTGCCTTTGGGGTTTGTATAATCATGCCATAGTTGAAAAGGCTAGCCTGTTTTTGGGCTGGGTCCTCAGCGCTTCAGTATTCTGGGACGTGTAGGGTTTAGATTTATAGGGTTTATATAGGGTGTAGCTCTCTCTAACTTTGGGGCCCTCATTGTGGTGTGTTGGTTGTTACAAGGGTGCCGCCGTTTGGGGGGCTTCTAAGACAAGGACCCTAATTCAGAGAATCACCAATCGCCATGCCAAAACCTGCAAAACCCTAAACCGTGCGTCCATGAGTTTAGGGTTTTTGGGGTTTAGTGTTTAGGGTTGTGGATTGAATGACCTGCTGTGTCAAGGGCTGTACCCTTACACTGGTGCCACATCCTACCGTTCCGTAGTGTTTGGGGCGACACGTGCACTTCGCTGGCCAATGTTACTACGTAGAATACACCTTGTCTGCATCATGGGGGCGGAAAGGAAAGGTATCCCTGATAGCGTAGACCAGTATAGCTAGCAAGTTAAGAAACACAGGGCGCCTGGTCTAGATGCTGAATAATGTGAGAGTTTCCGAAAACAGGGGACCCTAAATATAGTACCCTAAATAGTAGGCTCCTTCTATTCTAATAAGACACCAAAATAAGGTACTCCTAATTTTCGGAAACTCCCATGTGTCTTCCTCATGAATCGTCGTGGGGTCCCCAAGCTGGCCCCTCCCAAGGCAGGATCCCCCCCCCCACGCAGTTTCGCTGTCCAACTGCTGATGTCCTCAAACCTTTGTCATAGTGGGGTAACATTTTTCATCTTTATGGGTACTTAAAACTAATACGAAATAAGAATGTAATTTTTTTAATCCTATCGCAATCATGAACTAGGAAACGACGTCCCCAACCACCCCGAATCCTTAAACCTTGGAACATCCGGCTAAGGGTACACTCGTTTTGCGCGTTGATGCCATTGTTTACGTGCATGATTCTAGTATAGATGTCGGAATAGTATCCAACACCATTCCTTAGGGTTCCTCCGGTCATGATCAAGCATGATAGATGCCCCACTCTAGTCTGTAATATACGGTCCCTGTATTCGGTACAATATAAGCTCCTTTGGTTTGCTTTGGCTTGGCATCTTCTTTACCGGTCTGCATTGTCCTTCTTCCTCAGGACCTTACTAACTACACTTGTACATCCGAAGCCCACGCAACCCCCCTCATAGAGTCTATGAGGGGGGTTGCGTGGAGCTTGTCAGGAAAGCCCATACAGCCCACACAACATGACCCCTCATAATCTTCTTAAACACAACCTTTCGAACAGCCTCTACAGCCTTTCTACACTTGTGGAGGTCAACGCAGGAATCCATGGCAAGGCGCAACGTAGCCGGTTGGGGGTTGAGGGCTGTCGGCTGTAAACTCCCTAAACCCCAAAACCCAAGTCCCTAAACTCAAGCACTTTGGAGTTTAGGGTGGCGTTGCAGAGCAAGGTCCCGGAAGAAAGAGCAGACAGATCGGTTAAATTTGAGAAAAAAAGAGACAGGCCCCTGTTTAGGCCGTTTCTAGGGCTTAGGTTTCAGGGTTAATGTAGGACTCAGGGATTTGGAGGTGTTTTCGGATTATATTAGAGGACTCCGGGTGCCACGTACGACAGTTTGCCAGACTCGAGTGTCAACAATCTGTGTGGTGGAGTTGGCTTTGGGCTGTCGGCTTAAGACGGTTGGTCTGAGACCACGGAGGATCTATGGCATGGGGTAGCCCTATATATGATGGGAGTTTCCGAAAATTAGGGGTAGCTTATTTTGGGGCTCTTATAGTAAGGATCCTACTAGTTAGGGTACTGTATTAGGGTCCCCTATTTTCGGAAACTCCCATACAGGATTTGGAAGGAAGCACCATAAGCCTTTCTAGTGCAAATCATGAGACCTGAGCAATATACTATATAAACCACGAAGAACGATACAAACCATATTGGATATTGAACTTGCCCATAGGCCCTATAGTAGTTTCTTTTTTGGGATTCATACTTAGAATCCCATAAGGTAATCCGAAAAAGGACTGCTTTGGGGCCTATGGGTGTTTGGGAGGAGCTGACCAAGGAGTTGGCTTTGAAGACCATTCGATTGCGCCTTGTCGGCTCTTGAGGGAGTGCAGTTACGCATTGGATTTCTCGTTTGCTGTTACAGCTTGTGTTTTGTTATGGGGTACGAGCCAAAAGGAAGGACACTGTAGGTTGGGGTTTTGTCAGGAGTTTTCACACGGCTGTATGAACGGTCCTATGAGCGCCCTAAGTTTTATCGAGGCTTCATAATAAGGGCCCAGGGTTTTCGATGGGGGGGTTTTCGAGTGGTGCTTCATTAAGGCCGGGTGTTACTTTCACAGGGCTCCCAACGGGTCGCCAGAAGCGGTTTTACTAACCAATCCTCTACAAGTTCTGATGGGGGCTTCTCTGCTAGGCTGTAGACGAGTCTTAGGTAGGGTGTTAAACGGGCTTCATAAAGCTTTGCTCAGATTTTAGACGGTTCTGTGCATGGGACGATACACGAGGTCTTAAGACAGGGGCTGATATGGGGGGATCATGACGGTTTAGGGTTTAGGGTTGGGATTCAAGTTTGGGGTTTAGGGAGCTTCTATACTTCAGGGTTCCTGTTGAACGCGGCTCTGAATGAGAGGTTACATCTGTCTTGAGGCTTTTGTAGGGATCCAGTTTGGCTTTAGGACGGTTCTTGTCTGTTCGTGCAATGCGGGTTTGAGGGTAGGATGTAGGGTTTGGGTAGCTTTCTTTAAAGTCTGTCACCCTTTTCACTAGAGGTTGTGGTTGGGCTTCATAGGATGGCATAAGGCTCCTCGTTGCAATCCGTGGACCCTGTGTTAGGATCTGCAGTGACCCAGTGCGACTAACAACCCTCTAACATACCCCAAATACACACTAGCAAGGGCCATAAGGCCTCTATTAAAGGGTCCTTGAGGGAGGGTCCTGGTAACCCCAGACTCTAGACCAAGACCCACGAAATAATTGAATACTGGAATCTTGCAGCGTCGGCACCGAAACATTGAAGCCGCCCAGCCACTTGGGTGGTTGTCAAAGTTATGGTCCCTTCTTTGGGTCCCTATTATAATACGGCACTTATTTTTTAGGGTACCCAACAAGGGACCTTAATTTTGTCAACCACCCACTTATGAAACCTGCCCTTGCAGGCTTCCTTGTTATGACTTGTCTATCTCTATCAAACTGCTCAGAAGTGAAGGTTACTTGGAGTGAAGGTCAAGCTTAAAGCCGGAATCATAAGACCCTTCACCACGCCGAATAAGAAGAAATCTTTTCATGATATGACCTAAGTCTTATCATGGAAGCCCGCCCCCGTAAGCCCGTAGAAACCGCTGCCAAGTCGTTGTGCATCCCCATGTAAACGCATAGCACGCTTCTTAACACAGAAACCCCTAAACCTTAAAAGCCCTACGACTCCCGAAACTTAGGCAAGATGTTCATAGTCTTTGCTCGGAGACGCTCGCGAAGCGCCCCGGCGACACTGGTTGTTGACGGGGGTCTCGGGGGGTGGGTGTTCTGCAGCTTACGGTTCAGGCTTCCTGGGGTTTCTTATGGGATTCGGTTCTTGGGAGTATAGGGTTCTTTGGGGTTTCTTGCGGTTCAGGCTTGCTGGGGTGTCTTATGGGATTCGGTTCTTGGGAGTATAGGGCTCTCTTTGGGATTTCTTCGGCTTTCGGGTAAGCTTTCTAAAATACGGCGCATTTGGGATCCATTTTAATGCGGTGCCGCCTTCTTTTGGGGACCTAAAAGGGGCCCTAGTATAGAGAACTACCCATATTGTAAGCCCGAGCCTGAACGTTGTATCAGGCCTGGTTGTCGAAGGAAAGCTATCGGTCGGGGCTGGCTAGCTGCGGGATGAAAGTTTAAGGTGTAGGCAGGGTCTTAGCAAGTTGATATTTTCTCTTTTCAACCAGACTCCAAACTCATGCCTTCAGCGGCCCTTCTCGTATTACTTTACCCGAAGCCCTAAACTCTGCCTGGATCTGCAATTATGAGGATTCGAATCAATACACGGGTAGTAGTGGTAGGCGATTACACGACAAACATGTAGAGTACCGGGCAGGTGGCCTAGTGGCCTGAAATCAAGATCGACAGCAGAAAGAGGAGTGGCAGGTAGTTGTACATCAAACCATCAAGTTTAAGCCCTGCAAACAGTAGCCACTGACCCTTGAATTATTTGGCCGGATATTGGAGTGACAGGTAGCAGCGGTAGCAGTCGTAGCAGCAGTTGTAGTTGGTGAAGCAGTAGTTGCTGGAACAGCTCACCAGCTTCAGTAGTGTAATGAATATGAGTGGCAGCAGTGGGAGGAGGAGGAGGAGGAGGAGGAG